CACTTAGAAAGCTCTGAACTCATGAGTGTACTTGAATCAAGAGTGTACTGATCAAGCATGACTGAGAACATTCAGATATATACTTACAAGTGCATGAATTATCAGATCATGAAAGAATTTAAGAAAGAATTAGAACATAAGAAAGTACAATATCAGATAAAGTGTATAATACAACTGTTTAAATAATGAGAGATGAATCTCATAGATATATTACTGCAAACATCAAATGAAAATTGATGAATAATTACTGCTATTAATTATACTACTAGCTGATCAGTCATGAAAGCAGTTTCAGAGATGACAGAGAAGATGATGATAAAGTTTCTATATAATAAGATTTATGTTAACTATGAAATGCTGTGTGAGATTCTAACTGATAATAGTGTGAATCTCATAGAAGAAGCAGTGAGACATTTCATGAGTCAGTTACAGATAAGACATCATAGAACAATGCTATATCACCCACAGATGAACAGGAAGATGAAACACTTGAATGAAATCTTAAGTAACATGCTGATGAAATATCTAGTGAGCAAGTCTACAAGATTATAAGATGAATATCTCAGACAGGTGCTATTAGCCACACAAATCCGGCAGCATGCAGTTACTAAGTATTCATCATTCTACCTGTTATATGAATTGCATCCGCGCATCCTGAAGAATGCTTTGAAAAAGGTGAAAGAGGAAACAGCAGTTATGAACACAGTAGTCACAGATGCAATAGTTGTGAATACAGAATCAAGATTGAAAGAGATCAGCCACACACATGCAAAAGCTAATAAGTTACTTCTGAACTGAGCAATTCAATTGAAAAGAATATAAGACTCACTTATTAAGAAATCAAGTCTCAAGATGAAAATGTAAGTTCTTATATATAATGAGAGTTCTGAGAAGTTCTAACCTAGGTGGCTTGAGTCATATAAAATACTCAAATCACATTCTCTGAGAATGTACACATTGAAAGAATTAGAGAGACAGGTCTTACACAACTTAATCAATGATTCACAACTTATAAAAGTAAAGATGTAAGACTCAAGCAGATTATAATTATTCACAGCACTATCATCAGTGTTGAAAAAGAAGAGACTTATAATTGAAAAGTCTTATGAAGTAAGAGAAATCATAGACACTTATGAATCAGATAATCTCACTTATTCTGATCTTTTCATAATTATAAGAAAAGAATGAGAAGAAATGAAGAAATCAGGCAAATATCACACTTTAATAAGTGATGAGACTGTAGCTGATTGTATGATAACACACTGCAGACAGTGAGTGCAACACAGCAAAGAGCAGTCTTAAAACAGCAGACTTACATATGAGTCAGATTATAGAAGAAAAAGAAATTCAGAGTTGAATTTAACTGTTTACATCAGTTCAATTGCAGAGACTACAGAGAATGAACCATCTGAAACATCTGTAGATATGTGAGACTAAGTCATCTTAATCTCTGAGAACACTCAGAGATTGAGTGAGATTAGTTTCAATGAGTCATTCACTGTAGTGATCTGAGCAGGTGAAGAGAGACAGTATAATGTATAAGACAGAATTACAAAAGATAGAAGCTGCTGAACCTAGTCACTGAACACTGTATTATATAGAGATTGTATAAGAGTAGTGACTAGCAGATAAAGAAAAAGTGTAAGAAAAGAGATGATGAATTAGTCATCAACTGTAAGAATTAACTGCAAAAGATAAATATTATTATATATATCTTATTCATTTTCATATACTATATATTAATCTATTTTCAACATCACATCATCTGAAAAATATCAAAAATAAAGAAAATCTCAAAACTTAAGATCTGTAAGAAATTCAAGAGCTATAAGTTACTCTTATAATAACACTGTATATATCTCTGATTTCTCTATCACTCTGTATATAACATTAATGTCATTTATTACAAGATTGACTGAAATGTCAATATAGAAATGCACACATGTACATGTAGAGAAATTGAAGAAGAGTGTGAGACCTGCAGAATCAGAAGTCAGAGTAGAGAAGATGAAGACAGAAGAAATAGAAGAAAGAGAAGACACAGAATTAGATGAATGACAGCAGAAGTCATCTGAGACTGAATACTTATAACTCAGTGTGCACACAACCTTCTCTGCAGAAGAGAAGAAGAGAGAGAAAGCAATAAAAGAAGCTTGAGAGTGAGAGAGAGTAGTTTCAGCAGTATTATCATCTTTAATCAGAATGATCTCTGACATCAGAGCAACTAAGAATCATTGTTAGCATATAAAAATTATAAAAGTAGGAATAACAATTATTAAATAAACACTCACTAGTCTTAGAATTGTACACATAATTACAACACATACAAGACTTCTCAGAAAGAGAGAGAGAGACATAGAGAAATACAGAAAGCAGAACACAGTGTGTGAACAGCTTATTCTCATAATAATATCTCAGACAAGGTGTATAAGTCTCACATCTGTAGGTGTAAAAGAGTATAATATTCATGTTTCTGTTTCTGAAAACACAGATATTCTTCACCTGCATCACAAAGTCAGATAATAATCATCAGAGAATAGACTGATACAGATTGATTATTCTGAAGATATTAATCAGAGCAGATATACCTGTAATATTGAATTTAACAGTCATGAAAAGTTTCTTAATGTCTGTGAATATCATGACTTTGTACACAGTAAAACTCATAATAATTTTTCTTAAGAACAGAAAAATCAGCATCAGAAGAAAAAGATGAAAAAGAAAAAGACTTACAATCTCAACACTGTTAAAGAGAGAGATGATTCTCTGATATGAATAAATAATTATCTTATTATAAATATTTAAAATAAACATAATAATCAGCATTTATAACTGAGCTTCAGATAGTTATATTGTATACAGTCTTTATACAATAAATTATTCTGAGAGTTAGTAAGAAGAGTGAGAGTATACACACTGAGAGAGATGATTTATTAAGTCTACACAACATCTTCTTAAAACAGAGAGAGTTAATAATGAAAGCAGAGACAGTAAAATCAGAAGTAGCAGAAGTGAGAGTTGTGAGAACAGAGATAGTGAGAGAGAAATCAGACACAGAGACAGATATAGAAGATTGAGAGAGAAGTAATAGAGAAAGAAATAGAGAGAGCAGAGAAAGATGTGAGAGACTCAGTCATATATAACACAGATAATTTCTTCATTATCACATTCTTTAAGTTCTTAATTAATGATTCAACACTGAGTTCACTATCATCAGTGAATGCAGATCTGTCAACATATGAAGATTCTACATGAATAAAAACAAACATATCAGTATCTGCATTTATGCAAAATTGTGTCAGAAAACATGATCAGAAACCCGCTGAGAAGGAAATGATTAAAAGTGTATAAGAAGGTGAAGAAGATGTGCTATTTATAATAGTATATTCTGACAATTGTTAGAAGATAAACAAGTTCTGATCACATTTCATAATATATTACACTTACTACTAATAAACTGCTCAGTATGAGTACTACAATAACACTTATTATAAGAACAGAGAGTCATTGTCAGAAACACATACAATGTGATAGATAAACAGATGAAAAGAGTTAAACAGAAGAAGAGATAGAAATCTTGAATAGTAGTAGTATTCAATGATAATGAAATGAAGAAGATAGTTAAAGAATGAGAAAAGTTAGTAAATGAGTGATATAATATAGTGAAAGTTTCTTTGTAAGAGTGTACACAGAATACTAGTCAAATCAGAAATAGATTATACAATTATAAAACACTAGTAATGAGCTAATCTGTATAAAGCTAGAGTGTATAACATAATCACATAAGTGTAACTGAATCTGATGAAGAAGAATGTGATTCAGAAGAATATACAATCATCAGATAATAACACAGTCACTTTCAAACTACTAGTGTATGAATGTAAAGAGAGCTCTAGTGATCACTAATTAATTTAACATACGAGATTCAATATATAAGAAGCCGGCGTACGCCTGTAATCGTACACTGGCTTAAGCAACCTTTGAATCACAAAATTGAGAAGTGGAAATCATAATCTTATTTGAAAAATGTGATAAGAGTAGACAGTAAGTCTTACTGAGACAGTATGAAACTACTATCTAATGTTAGAACTGTGTAATAAGATCTGTCAAATTGATAATGAAACTATTAAAAATTCTGATTCTGATCTCAGACACGGTCACATAATCAGTCTAATTACTACATTTATTCTAGTCACGTGCCACCTCAATCTATTCATTTAGTGTAACTCGCGTAGTTAAATTACAATATAATACAACAACATTATTTTTCAAGACACTTAATCTTACTAAGTGCATTACTTAATCTTGTTATATAAGCTGATCTCATCTGTATCACTATCTGACCTTGCTCAATACATCTTTTCTTGTAATTTGAAATCACTTAATTATTTATCATCAATTCTACAATCAATTCAAAATTAATTTAAAATCAATTTAAAATCAATTTAATACTGAAATTATTCTTGAATTTAATAATAAAGTAAGTATTTATATAATTTACACTGAATTGATTATCAATTGATTTTCAATCAATTATTAATTACTTAAATATATAGATTGAATTTATTTTTATTACTATAATTAATTAATAATTAATTCAGAATCAATTTAAAATCAATTTAAAATCAATTTAATACTGAAATTATTCTTGAATTTAATAATAAAGTAAGTATTTATATAATTTACACTGAATTGATTATCAATTGATTTTCAATCAATTGTTAATTACTTAAATATATAGATTGAATTTATTTTTATTATTATAATTAATTAACAATCAATTTAAAATCAATTTAAAATCAATTTAAAATTAATTGTTAAATATTTTTATCTTAATATATTTTAAAATTCTGTAAAATATCTCTTTATATTCTATATGAATTTGTCTGTTCATTTAATTGATTATGAATCAGCTAATGCTTTGATTGATTGATGAACTGAGTGAATGAGAATGAGTGAATTGAAATTTGAAAGGTTAAGTGAATTGAAAGATTGAAAGTCAATTACCAACTGATTATTACTGTATTGTGCGAGGTCGGGGTCATGATTATGTAATGAGGTCAAGTGGCGCACTTAGCGAGGTCAAGTTTTCTGTATACACCAGTTCTCTCCAGCTTCAACTAACATGCAAAGTTACGAAGGAAAACAATGACGAAGGTAAACTCTACTCCGTAACTATACAACCAATCACCACCCAACCAGTCGAACCTATTGTCTAGGTACAGTACATTACAATGAGACAAACGGCTGAAAGATTGAACCGCGGGATCTCCGGGGCCCATCTGCGTCAGAAGTATCGACGTCATGGATCTGATTCGCGGCGGGGCAGCCAGGGGGGCGGAGGGGGGAAGAGCGTTTGTTTAAGGGGGCCCGGGAGGCGAAAAGTTTTGCCTGCGTGGGGATGGGAAGGGGTGTCTGTCAATTGGTGATATTATATTGCGAGTGGGTGGGTTGGGTTCATTGTGTTTGTAGCTTGTTGATTGTATGTACAAGTAGTAAGGTCTGCTCCCTCATCCCCCGCGCCCCTTTATGTATTGTTGTGTACAGTACAGTACAGTCGCAAGAGAGAGGGAAGAGGAGAAGGAGAGGAGAAAACTAACTTTCGAATTCTAGGGTTAGGAAATGCTCAGCTGCAACTTCACCCATTGTCTCAAATACCGCCGTCTCTGCCGCCGCATCTTTCTTCACAGCTGGAGTGCTCTAGCCTGGCATATTCTATCCTATCAGTTCCCAGACTGCTCTTGTTCAGACGGCTTGTCATCACTCAACCCGGGTGGATTTGCGAGGAGAACAGTTGTTGTCGTATCTCTATATATACACATCCATCAGTCCATCAGTCCATCAGTCCATCCATCCCGAAACCAGCCGTTCTTGATATATAGACCGGTTGCACGAAGATCACCACTCTTTCTCTCTCCCCATTCTGTCTAAATCTAACCAGAAATCACCCCCATCGCCCCATCGCAGCTATTCCGGAACCACCCGCTTCCCATCGCAACCATGTTCCTGAAGAAGAACCTTACGGAAGAGGGCTCGTTGCCAGAGCACCATTCCAACTCTCACCGCAACCACAAGCATGGCGAGGGGCGTCACACGCCGCATCTGAGGCCATACGTCGACATGGTCATCTCCGCGTTCCAGGACCGGCGTTTCCAGCGGCGGACCTCCGTTTATCAGAAGCGGGATCTGCAGGATCGGGTTGCGAAGAAGAAGTGGACGGGGCCGCCGTCGGAGGTATATACATGCTACACACACATACCCCATTCATTTCCCAGTGACTAATTTCGTAAAAAAAAAACAATTTCAGACAATCTACGGCGGCATCTCCGTCCGCTCTAGCGAAAATAATGACATTATCATCGCCCTCGCCATCCGTGACACAACCTACTTCCTCGACTTCTCCGAGCACCACTTCCCCGTCGACGAGAGCTTCCACCCCACCGCAGACATCATCACCGACTTCGTCATCCATGAGCTGCGCAAGTACGAGCGCGAGCACCTCGAGAAGTTCATCGGCATTGCTCTGCCGCACGAGCTGGCGGAGCGCTGCCCGCATCTGTGTCCCCGCCTATGGGGGGAGCTGGATATCGTGCCGCTGGTCCTGCACGGCAAGGGCGTGCATAGCGTCGGCTGGATTAATCGGGAGTATTGGAATACGAAGACGTTGGATGAGCAGGCTGAGTCGGTGGCGAGGAAGTGCATCACGTATGTTTTCCCCTTCTTTTTTATCATTTCGGTTTTTCGATTTCGCTTCATACATGCGTGAAAAATAAAATAAAATAAAAGCTAACCAATATTACAGCTTCTTCGGGCCTAGCAAGGCGCCTCTGCTGCAGGTGGGGTATCGCGGAGGTGTGGAGGTTGACTGCGGCTTCCATGCTGTCCTGGCTAATTTGTCGGATTATGAGCTGACGGTTGGCTCTCGCACGTGGAATTCTGTGTTGAAATATGCGGATGATTTGAAGAAGCGCAAAGTCAAAGTTGCGTTTTTCAGCGCCACGCCGCAGGGCGGTGGTGTTGCGCTGATGCGGCATGCGCTGGTCAGATTTGCGGAAACGTTGGGCGTGGATTTCAAGTGGTGAGCTTAGACAATCTTATTATTTTAGTTAATGCCTATCTCGTGGCGGATCCCCTAATGTCTTTTTTTCTTCTTCTTTCTAGGTACGTCCCCCGCCCGCGCCCGGCCGTCTTCCGCATCACAAAGACAAATCACAACATCTTCCAAGGCGTCTCCAAGCCCGATGAACGTCTTACAGAGGAAAATAAAGCCGCCCTCACAGACTGGATCGTCGGCAATGCCAAACGATACTGGTTCGGCAAGGGCGGGCCTCTCTCCGCCCCATGCGAGGGCGGCGCGGATGTCATCGTCATCGACGATCCACAGATGCCTGGTCTAATCCCCCTGATTAAAGAGGTGACGCCGATGCGGCCTGTCATCTACCGCAGCCACATCCAGGTCCGCAGCGACCTGATTGCGGATCCAACGACGCCGCAGGCAGAGGCGTGGAATTATTTCTGGGATAGCATCAAGTGCGCGGATTTGTTTATTAGCCATCCCGTCTCGAGCTTTGTGCCGCATATGGTGCCGCGAGAGACGGTGGGGTACTTGCCGGCGTCGACAGATTGGTGGGTATTTTTCTATTTTCCCCTCCACTCTTTTTGCAGTGCCTGGAATGGTTCAGCTTGCTTACGCTCCTTTTCATGGATGTCGCAGGCTCGATGGATTGAATAAGACCATGGACGATTTTGACATTGGTTATTACGGTCGTATCTTCAACGCGAAATGTCGCGAAATCGGCATGACCACCATTGATTATCCAGATGGTATGTCTTTCCCCGCCATTGTCTTTTCGATGCATTTATGAACACACACATGGCTGACAAAATATTCAAGACGAGTACATTGTCCAAATCGCCCGCTTCGACCCATCAAAGGGTATCTTCGACCTCCTCGATGCATACGAAAAATTCCGCATCCTCTTCGGCGAAAACCGGCCCAAAGAAGAGAAGCCTCCCAAGCTCCTGATCTGCGGACACGGCTCTGTCGACGACCCGGACGGCGTGGTAATCTACGACGCCGTCATCGAGCACATCGACAACAACCTCGCCCACCTCAAGTCCTCCATCTGCGTCATGCACATCCCGCCCTCGGATCAGATCCTCAACGCCCTCCTCTCCAAAGCGCGCGTGGCCCTCCAACTCTCCACCCGCGAGGGCTTCGAGGTAAAAGTCTCCGAGGCCCTGCACAAGGGCAAGCCCGTCATCGCCACGCTCGCCGGCGGCATCCCGCTGCAAGTGCAGGACGGCAAAAACGGCTTCCTCGTCGAAGTCGGCGACTCCGACGCCGTCGCGCACCACCTCTACAACCTCTGGACGGACGACGAGCTCTACTACCGCCTCAGCAGCTGGGCCGCGGACAGCGTCAGCGACGAGGTGAGCACGGTCGGCAACGCGCTGTCGTGGCTGTATCTGGCCAGCGAGGTGTCGAAGGGCAAGACCGTGGCGCCGAACGGGAAGTGGATTAATGATATGGCGCGCGAGGAGGCGAAGGAGCCGTATGGCCGGCACGAGAATCGGTTGAAGAGGACGTTGGGGGATAATGAGGGGATTGGGGTTGGGGTTGGGGGGTTTTCGCTGCATAGGGGGCGGTCGAGAGATTTGGGAAAGTAAGGGGTATGTAGGTAGGAGAGTAAATCGAGTCTGGTAGTGTGTTTTTTTATGCTTTTGCTTTCCCTATTTTTGTTACGTGCGGTTCGTCGCGAGAGTTGGTATTTTCTTTCATTTTCTTGATATTTTAAATTCCTTCATAAAGTGCACGGCTTGTTAAATTTTTTTTTGAATATGTTGCCTTCAAAAGAAAAAAGAGGGAAAAAAAGAAAAGAGAGGAGGGAAAAGAAGCTTGTCTTTCTTGCCTCTATCGATCATTCCAAGTTGATCATTCCAAGTTGTCTGCAGATTTTGGTTTCTACATTTTTTGTTATTACAAATACCTGCACGGAGTAGATATAAGTTATAGTTTAGCTACAACATGGTTTATTTATATGGCTTATAGTTTTATAATTGCCATTTCACATTCCTGTTCACACAGGGTACATCGAAGGGAAGAAATCGAGTCCGGGGAAAAAAGGAAGAAATTCAAGGAGTCAATAAAAACTGGGGACACATTGACGTTTTCTTTTCGGCTTCATGTTATGCGGTTCTCATGGGATGGATGGGGGAGGGGAGGGGGTTAGTAGAAGAGCAAAGACACTCGTGTTAAAAAAAAAATCATAATCCGATGAGAAAGCAGATATTTCATCATGATTTTTCTCATTTCCTCCTTGTCCTTGTCAACATACCGAAGAGGCGATTTTTTATTTACTTTATCATTTCATATGAATATGAAAAGAAACGTAGGTGCCGGGATTTCCGAAACAAAAGGTCATAAATATGGAGTTATGAAAAAAGTTGACGTTGTCTCTCATATCTCATTGAAACCGTCTACCGTTCACATTCGTATGTCGAAATTACACCTTCGTTTATTCTCTCTAGCAAACTGAAAAAAAAAAACAATCTTCAGAGTGAAAATAAAAATAGGGGATGGGATGTCGAACAAGGACAAAAGATACATTAATGTGTGAAGACATATGTAACACCCCGAAAAGATGCTTCGCATGTATGACGGCATGATAGATAGCTCGGGAACAAATCACTAACGTGCACAAAAACGCAGGGGGGGGGAATCGAGCTAAAATAGAAAATAAAAATTGGAAAAATGGATATTAAGGCTGAAATGAATCAAGGCAACGGGGATGGACAGGTCTGAAGGGTTTTCACAATGTGGAGAGAGGAAAACCGACGAACGGAGAAATTTCATCCCTTCCGAAACCCTGCACGGTATCACGACTTCGCAGGATAGCCCCAGCCACACCCAGCTTACAGGAAAGCAACCGCTAATCCCAGCGCGCCGAGGCCGAGGGAGCCAGCGAGCTGAGTCGCGCCGGAGATGTCTTGTGCGGCGCAGACCTTGCTGCGCGTTTGGGTCGATGGGTTGTAGCAGACGTTCGAAGGGGTGATGCAGGAGACGTAGCCGGGGCCGAAGCATTCGCTGCAGGTTGTGCCGCCGTTAGGGCAGGTCTGGAAGTCCTGGTTGCTAGGCGCATCATCATCATCATCGTCGTCGTCGTCATCATCACCGCCGCCGCTGCTGCCACCTCCACCGCCTCTCTTGGGGGCGCGGGCTTCAAGGCCCTGAGCGCGACGCTCAACGGAAGTGATCGCGATCAGGTCACTAGGGTTGTTTGGGGTTGCGGAGGCGACGAGGCCGAAGAGAAGGATGAGGAGGGTCGTGACCAGAGGCCAGCGCTTCATGGTGAAGGAAGACATTTTGATGGTATTGTTTTTGGTATTGTTTTGGTGATCGAAGGTGGGAGTGTGGAGAGGATTTATTATTGCTGGTTGATACAATTGGAAAAGGAAAGAAGTGTGATGGGGATGGGGAATGGGAAACGTGAACTGGGAAGAAGCTAATATATATATTTTATCGCTCCAGGCTGTCAGTGAGTGGTGGCTGAATTGACTAAACACGGCCACACCGCTGGCTACTGGCTTCTGAAAAAGAATCGATATCTGTGTCAGAGAGTGAAAAATATTTTCAATCCGTGTTTGGGAAACTAAATCAGCCTGGCAGCAGTGGCAGGGGATCCGCGTAGTGATTGTTCTTAATTTAGGTGCAAATCCACGCTCTTCCTCAGCCATCATAACGGGGTCCTGGAGAACAAGCAATTCATATCGGGGTGGAACAGCGCCTCGCCGCCAAGTCGCTGGAAGCCACTCAAACTCTCAGGGCCTTGCTCAAGCAGCAGTTTCCTCCTGTTTGGCTCTAGGGTGCGGGAATGCTGCTAGTGATTGGAGCCTCGCTTGCTCCTTTTCGAGCTAAAGCCGACATCCCCGCACGCAGTCAACGGTTCAGCCGAATGCGTTTTCCAATTGGCGGTGTTCCCGACTGAGGCTCTGTTGGGGTTTTGGCTTTCAGCGAGGCATGAAACATCCTTGAAGATTCTTGATGAAGAGTGACGCAGAACTATGCAGTTCCAGGGCTTCGTGGGCAACAAAAACAACCCGCCCAACAAATTGTTGACTATCGAATACGAGGGTTAAATTGCGTCGACTTTCAGCTGAAACCAAACACTAAAGGGGCGGGAAGCAGTGCCAAAGTTGATCGTGAAAGCGTGATTTTCGCTTTGCGGTTCTCCTCACCTGTTCTCCTCACCATAAAATAGTTTTAGCCCTCGAATATTAGGGTGTTCGAGCAAGCATGGATGAATAGCGGGAATCCTGGCCGGCGCCGTGATGAAAATACGAGAAGTTAAAGCCAGAGGCGTAAATCGCATGGGGATGGAACTAACCACTAGCTGCCCAGAGCGCAGTTGCGTGAAAGTCAAAGTTTTCCAATCGCTGGTCAGTCAGAATGGAGATGCTGAAGTGTGATCGGCTTCAAGAAAAGCATGAAGAGTAAATTCATCGTATCAGATCATTCCCATGCTCCAGAATTTGGTTTCAGGTGCAGAAAAAAAAGATCACTACAAAAAAACGAGCTAGCAGACTGAAGATTTTCTCTGTCTGGAATACCCTCATCCTTCACACACCACCTTGATAGAGAATTCGTGGGTACAGTCGCATCGAAACTGCTGGCTTTTAGCCAGAAGTCAAGCATTTTTCTTCCACTTGCTGATCGCTGGTGGGTAACTTGTGAAGATCCTTGACAGGCTGAACATTGGGGCCTGAAGTTTGAACTAATGAGTTTCGCGCTAGAAACTTCATGATTTCATTATTTCCTGGAAGGGAAAATTTCCCATTTACCAGAAAAGTGTGGTACCGTGGACACCCTGCAGATGCCATGCTGATGCATGTTGTGTGGTTGTACAGTGCTTAGGCCGAAACACAGCAAGCGTGGGCTTCCAAGGGTTTGGGACCCAAATATAGTGCAGAGCCGCATCTTAAACCTGCAGACAGCCAAACGGCCCAAATGGCCATCACAATCACTCCGACGAGATGCCTTGGTCTAGCATGTGAACATAAATGGGCGTTGCTATGCAGCCCTGGAAAAGCCAGCTTTTCAACCAACGCATTTGTGGTGCCTTGCGAACGGCACAATTTCGCCACCAACCTGCCACCGGAGAGCAGCGAAAGTCCATTGAAGTGATACCAAGCCATGCTTTGCCTGGAGGCTGGATATTAAGCCATGTGGAAAATGGGCTGCTTATCTTCAGAAGCACTTCTGCGGGCGTGGTCAAAAGTCTCTCAACCTCGACGATATCAAACTTTCCCAGAGCAAGCCAAACGGAACCGCCCAATTCGAACCACGTCAGACAGCCTCAACGCCATCCGCCGTGATTAGAGGGTTTGGCTGGGTGCCGCAACGTCGACAGTCTTCCAAAGTCGATTTTTATTGATTTGACTTTGCGCTGGCCCCTAACATCAAAGCATGCCGCAGATTTTGTGAACTACCCTGCCCAACGGAAAAGTCGCGGTGGTGATAGTGATTGATCCCGGCTGGAAGAATATCCCAACAAGGCGCCATGGCGCTGAAGCATCGGTCGTTGCTGGTGAAACGCCTGATTCCAGTAGATGGGGCCAGATAAGAGCGCTGTTGATTGGTGCCAGATGTCATAGTGCGGCGAAATATGATTCCACCCCTGAAAACGTAAAATATATCAGCCTAGCTGGTCAAATGGAATGGGCTGTTTTTGGAATTGTTTCCCTTACTGTTTCCGTTGGATTTTGGTCCGGGTGTCTCAACCGCCGTTGGTGCATTGATTCATTTACCATTGATCGAAAGTCAGAATTTTCGAAAGGCTTTCTCTCTTGTTGTTCTAAGGCACTTAATCTCCGATTTCCTTCGGGTAGCCAGGAACCCTCTAACAACAGTAACCAGGATAAATAGAGCCTCTTAACTGGCATACATGAACAGAGCCATACATGGCATGTATACCACGTTTCCCCTAGCTAGTTTCGTCAGCTCGTTTTCGCACATTGTTCAGTACTCAATGAGCAGCGCCCTGTGAAATATACCCGGTGCATTCTTCACAGCGACCGACGGAAAACGTTATTCTATCATCGATGCGATCCTCTGGCACCTGGTTGATCACATCTGCTTTGCATATGGGTACCCCCTAATGCTATATCCAGCTATGCCGACCAGATTAGCTTGCATTGCCGTCGAATCGGCTGGGCAAACCGATCCCGCAACCAAGAGGGCAGCAACTTTTACGCCTCTTGGATAGGTTTGCGAATTCCTTTTGCGCATTACTTCCTGGCTGTCACATTTCATCAGAAGAGAGTGATGCACCGGTTGATCCATAGCACATACTCCAAAAATGGGGGAAATCTTGGAGGTCAAAATTGATCGGACTGATATGAGCTGCTGATCTGAAAGCCTTTCCGAGCCCGCTCATAGTTTAAAATTCCCAGTTGTCAACTACCTACCCCCTTGTCATGCTAATATAGGATCCCCATCCTAGGACCACTACAAATAAGGAACCTTTGACAACAGAATTAACCATTTTTCAGGTTTTGGCGGCTTGAACACCCTTGTTAGCTCTAGTTATTTTTCATGCTGCTGATTGGAACTTACCGCCGGCGCGTCATTTGTGAAACTTCTGGCGTAGTTCTATCTGTAGTAGCCATGGCCATTGACACCTGAGGCTAGATTTGTGTGTTATACGTCTTCATTAACATGATTAGAATTGGTTTCATCGAAAACGCGACTTCGCGAATGAATTTATGTTCGAAAAATGACGTCACTACATAGTTACAAGTCACGTGAACATGCTGACAGGTTATACTGTTGTAGGCTACTGGGGCAAAAGAGCTCAATCACCACCAGCGCCTGCTGGTAGAAGGGCCGACCAACCGCGGGACCCCCAACACCCCCCCTCGGACCAGCTACCACAGAGTACAATACTTCCCCTCAGTGGCTCCCTTCAGTGGCCTCCCCACAATGGCTCCTTTTTAATAATGGACTCAGTCAGTCCTAGGGCTCACGGGACTTCTAGGGCACACTCCTGGGATGTCTCTTGGCACTGTTAAAATGTTCAAGGGTATTTGTTAGGAATTTTTAAGTCCATTCTGGGATCGAACCCATGCATGTTGACCACAGCGGGGCTCACGCTCAACGGTCTCATAACCTGTAGGCTACTGGGGCAAAAGAGCTCAATCACCACCAGCGCCTGCTGGTAGAAGGGCCGACCAACCGCGGGACCCCCAACATATACTTCTTGCTCGATATATCTCACAATAGTTTTTGCACATCAGGTCATAAAGATAATGCTAGGTTTAATTACAAATATTTGAGCAGGACTCTCTCATTCACTATCGAGGGACGCGCTGCCGTTCTTTTCGCCATTTACGGGACTTCCCCTACCAATCGTAAAGCCCTAATATTCCCCCAGCAAAGGGCTGGCGGTCCCGCCATTCAGGGGGGTCGTGTGCGGCCCGTTCGTTTGCCTCCCGTTCATAATTCTATATTGTACCAGCGGGTGAATATAAAGCGTATCTAGCATGGATTCGGCCCCGCGGGAGATTCCAGGGTACTACTATGGTACGTATGAGTGCATCCTACATTGTATACTGTCTCGGGTTTGTGCCCGTTTTCGGGGCCTATATTCTCCATTGTCGAGGTCTCATTGATGGGAACAGATGACATGATTGTCATGGGAATATTCAATACACTTATCTTTCTATATTTCCGTATCACTAAAGGATATTTCAATTTTGTGTTCTGAACTAACCACGACCTATGCCCCAGACGCTGAGAAGAAGAAGTATTTCAAAGTCCAGGCAAATCACGCTGCACCATCCGGATCGAAGTACACAAGGGATGACATTAAAAAAAGAAAGGAGACATCTTTGGTTAGTGTCCTGTAGCACTTCATGTGTGGTTAATACACCCCACCATGCTAATAGTAAACTGCAGAAGCGAAAGAGGATAGAAGAGCACTCTCAGCGCATATCGACGGAGACTATCAAGAGGTCAAACCTGTTACAGTGTCCTCTCGGTGGCAAATTGCTGCAGCGGGAGTATGGCACGCTACCCTCCTCGAGGAGCTTTGTTTCCGAACACCGAGCCGTCGCATGTGCAAGGCTGCTTTCTAGGAATCGATTGGTCGATGTAACTAGCTATGATGCTAGATTTCCCGTGTCGAGGTTCGCCAGGGACCCTTGGAGTGGAAACCTCTTAGTTGGTGTGTATCCGAGTTTTCAACGGTCGCTATTCTTACTGATATTGATGTGTTTTTAATCTAGCGATCAATACGGCATCGAATTACAACCTTCTGTATAGTCTGCCAATCCAATCCATCGACTTTTTATGTGAGTATCGGGCCCTGCTGACGAAGATGTTATTAGGTCTTATCTTCCTAAGAAACAAAGTCGGCCCTGGCAGTACAGATTGCATCAGAGGCAGTGTAACTGTGCAATGGTGGGATATGACTGGGTAAGTGTGACCGCAAAAGGAGCTTCAACCTTTTCTAAGGAGTTCGGCAGGTCACTTCGCTCTCAATTGGTCCAACCGGCTGGCTTCTGTGAGTGTCTATCTATCGGTATATTTTCAAGTGGACGAGATGCTAAGACGATATATACAGTGTTTCGTCAAGCAATCCAAGCGGTGAAAGCGTTCATATTTCAACTTCTAGACTCACAAACCAGTTGGATGGCCGGTCCGCGACTCAATACGTCGTTGGTAAGAATTCTCTCACTCGTTCTTTGGAAATTGAATTGCTGCTTCGTTCCTTGAGTTACACTAACAATATGTCCATCTAAGATACCACAACCACGTTTTGCTACCCCGGTACTATGGTATGGTGTTCCGCCCCGTGCCCAAGTGCAACAGAGAGCATATTTGTAGTTGGAAAATCAAGTAATCTGTTATTTATCACCGGGATTGATTCACACTGGAACACGCAAACCGTCAGGATGCCGAATACTGCTGATATCATGGCTGTTGAGTGGCTGACCCCTCGAGTGGTAATGGCCGGGATGACCAACTCCCTGGTGCAATTCTATGATTTACGTAGCCAGGATACCGCGACGAGACTCCAACATCCACACGGTGTATATAAAATTCGGAAGGTAGATGAATGGCGGATTGTGGTGGCAGGGGCGAAGAAGAATGTATGCTACAATTATCGGGATTTCCCTCTATTGTCCCTAATCGTCATCGCTAAAATTCACCTTGATAGCTACATATGTACGATCTCCGCTATGGCCCCAGCGGCATTACAACACGTCCCCAACCCAACAAACCCAGTCACATCTCGACAGAACCCTACCTCACGTTCCACGGCTATGAAAACGACCATTTATCGCACGATGAGCTAGACATCAGTCCCGAAACTGGTCTTCTCGCCTGTAGTGAGTTGCTACACCTCCCTCTTTCCACCCTACCTCTGAGAAAAAATAAAATAAACCCACCCTCAAACTAACTCCATCCCAGGCTCCCCTTCCAACAAGATCCAGCTCTTCTCCCTCAACACTGGTAAACTTATCATGCCTCCACCCCTCATCCCCTCTCTTCCCTCTTCCTTCCCATCCGCCCACATCCAACCACAAGCACGCCAGCGCAGGGCTGCCGAAGTTTCCAATCCCAATCGTAGAGACGTACCTATTACCCACTATCTATATCCGGACAAGATTACCTGTCTACGTTTCGAGAATCTAACGGAGGTGCCAACGGCAAATGGCGCAGGAAATACGGGGAAGCCGAGTTTGCTAGTTAGCGCAGGACCTATAGTTGAGGAGTGGCGGATGTGAAAACGATTTTGATACGAACTTGGCTTGACAAAAAAAAAGGCATGAATACGCCTAGCGAGATGATGGAATTTATTTTCCTCGTTCTTTTCTCAATCGTTTTAGTGGAGGTCAACTGGGGAAAGCATTCGATATATGTACGATTTTGACTTTTTGCAATTTTATATTTGGAAGGTGTTTTGTGGCGAATTCAAAGGGATTAGGGATGGAACTAATAAAAACGGGGATATTGGGGTTTACGAGTCCAGGATTCTTTGAAATATTCTTATTCTGTGTCTTTGGGTGGTCATTATGGTCATCTTCATCAGCATGCATACAAAACCAAGTTTGCAATGGGTTGGTTTGGAGGGGAGAGTGTGGGCCGGGCGTGTTAGTTTTTTGTAAATATGCTGTGAAAAATCATTGCACTGGTTGTGTTTCTGCTGACCCTGGAGGAATACAGAGGACTCCAACGCACATGAAGAAGTCAGATCTGGGAACAAGATGGAAATTTCCTACTGCCTCCTAGGAGGAGGGAACGCAAAATCTAAGCCGCCAGACTACGCCTTGGATTATATACATATCGTGTTACATCTTAATCTAACCATAAAACATAAAACCCATGCACATACAATTATTCTACACCTACATTCCCCTCTCCTCCGGAAACTCGTCCGCAAGCTTCAACCGCGCAACGACATTCATGCTAAAAAGCTCTTGCACCAACAACTTCGCCGCGTATGGGATAACCATCTTCACAACCCCGCGCGACGTCTTACACCGCTGACACCACCCCAAATACCCCATAAACCCACAACTCTCACAGACATCTACCTCATGCCGATCAGACGAAATCATCAACCGCTCCAACAGTAACTGGCTAGTTCCATATGCAATCAGACAATCACGCTCCATCTCGCCCAGCCGCAGGCCACCATCCCGCGACCTTCCCTCCGTCGGCTGTCGCGTTAAGATTGCCCGCGGCCCACGCGCCCGCGAATGCATCTTATCTTGTACCATATGCTTCAGCTTCTGGTAGTAGATGGGTCCCATGAAGACATACGCCGGGAGCGGTTCGCCCGTGATGCCGGAGGTGAGGTAATCCTTGCCACCATACGAGAAGCCATGGTCGACAAGGATAGCGGACATTTCCTCCACGGGACTGCCGCCGAAGGCAGTCCCATAGCCGAACTGGCCGGAGAGAATGCCCGCTTTGCCCGCGATGAGCTCGAGCATTTTGCCCACTGTCATACGTGACGGAAAACCGTGCGGGTTCATGATAATGTCCGGGACGATTCCGAGGTCGCTGAAGGGCATATCTGCGTATTCGGCGATGATGCCGACGACGCCCTTTTGGCCGTGGCGGGAGGAGAATTTGTCACCGACTTCCGGCACACGGGTTTGGCGCGTCTGGACTTTGATGAGCTGATTTTCGGCCTCGGTGGCGGAGATCATGACCTTGTCGATATAGCTGGGGTCGGGGAGTTTGTACGTTTGTGGGGAAGGGATGTAGGCGATGGGCCTGCCGGCGTCTGAACCTGTGATGCCAGACGATAGCGCGTTTTCCGGTGTGACTTTGTTGATATACACTTCACCCTGGTTTACCTTTTCGCCGACGGCGGCAAGGCCGTCGCTGTCGAGGAGGGCGTGCTTGCGGATTGGCAGGCCGTTTTCGCGGTCAGGGCCTTTAAGTTTATCCTTTGTGCCGTTGGAGTAGCTTTTGAGGTTTGTGGAGTATTTGCGGAAGACCTGACAGCGGCCGAAGCCGCGGTCTACGGAGCTCTTATTTAGGACGAGAGCGTCCTCAATATCGTAGCCGGAATAACTCATGACAGCAACGGTTGCGCTTTGGCCGGCGGGGAGCTTGTCGTATTTGATCAGCTCGATCGTTCGGGTTTTCACCATGGGCTTTTGCGGGTAGACCATGGTGTAGAGGAGGGAGTCGATGCGAAGGAATTGGTTATTGGCAATAGCGCCTATGGCTTGTTTACCCATAGCGCATTGGTATGTGTTTCGGGGAGATTGGTTATGATGTGGATAAGGGATGAGGCCGGCCACAGCGCCGAGAATGGTAAACGGTTCGATTTCCAAATGCGTCGTGCTATCAGTAATGTCCTCCTCATATACGGCGATATAAGAGTCGTTTTCCTCATTGCAATCCAGATACTCTACTAGGCCATGAGCCAAGAAGTCGTCAAATTCCATTGACCCGCTCCTGAGCGCCCAGAGATGGCTCTTGGTTACTTTGGATTTCCCGTCTTCAACAACGATCAGTGGGCGACATATACGCCCATCGTCCGTAGCAATGTGCACGGCGTTCTGATGATGATTGATGAAGACACTGATGAATTCTGAAACCCTCCCCGTCCGCCGCAGCCGACGGAAGGAATTTAAGAAAAACTTCGGCCGCCGCGTTAGGGCGATAGGAGATCCGTTTAAGAAGATAATGTAAGCACCCTGGCCATGCAACTCGCGGCCGCCGACAGTCTGCACGTCTTCCGCGCCAAGGGCGAATATGAGTTTTCTCACAGGCTCCTCCTCGTCGTTGGTAGTGATATGCGTCATGAGCGCCAGGTTCTTTACAAGACCACAAGCCTCACCTTCCGGAGTATCGGACGGACAAAGCATGCCAAACTGGGATGGTTGCAGGGCTCGAGGTCCCGAGACTTTGCGGGTCTTCTCAAACTGACTTGAAATACGGGTCATCATGCCCAGAGCGGCGATGTAGCTCAATCGGCTCAATACATGAGTAACACCCGCCCGCTCCATGCGGAAACGCTTCAGGCTCCAATTACCGGTTGAGATGGCCCGGTTCATACCCTGGGTGATGTGATTTCCATGAATGGCGACGACCCCATATGCATCGAATTGTTCCGTCCGTACAGGCTTCTTCAGCACCTTATCAATATTCATTTTAATGTCAAATTGAAACTTCTTAAACAGATCCTCAAATAGCAATGCCAGGAGCTGGCCAGCCAGTTCCAGTCGCTTGTTCCCCACATAATCCCGATCATCTACTAGACTGGGGTCATGCTTCGCCATCAAAACACGCCGAGCCATATGTGCAACGTACAGCGCCTTGGGCCGGAAGTTCAAGTTTTCCACGACGACATGAGAGATGATAACAGAGGAAATTGCTTCGATGGCTTCCTGCACATGGTTTCGTCGGGTAATGCCAAAGCTGTTCGGTTTCCGGTTGATTTTGATTCTGCTACCGATATATTCCAGCGCCTGATGTTGAGTGTATATCCCGAGTTTCACGGCCTCCTCGAAGTTAATGGAAAAGTCTTCTTGGTAGGTGCTATCTATGCCGGCAACAAGAAGCAACATTTCCTTGTCGGACTGGATTCCCATGGCCTTGAGAAGGATGACGATTGGAACATCTTCATTAAGAACGTTATGTCTCATGTATATCCGGTCCTTTTTCATGATGATATAACTCTTCGACTTTCGTTCGTTCGAGGAACTGTCACACGACCGTTAGCGAAATAAGTCCCGTATACAATTAGGATATTATAAAATGATTAATATATCCAAAGAATAGTACACACCTAGTAACCGAAGCCTGAACAATCTCCTTTTTCAAATCCGTCTCCACAATAACCCGATTCTTACTCAACTGCTCTTGTACCAAAATAACCTTCTCCGTCCCATTAACGATGAAATACCCACCAGGATCAAGCGGGCACTCATGCAACAGCTGCATCTCCGCCTCTGATTTATTCGACAACACACACTTGGAGCTCCGCAGCATAACAGGCATGCGACCAATCGCGGTCCCGTTCCGCTTGACTCGTTGTCTACCACGGACATATTCAAAATCGACCAGGATCGGGGCCGCATAGGTCATATCACGCAGCCGGCATTCGTTTGGTGTGATAGTAGATGCTACATCGAATTTGGAGTCTTGTTCTTCATCTGCCCGCCGGGGATTGCCCAGGTAGATATCGTGGAACCTAAATCAAGCAGGCCAAATTGTTTAGGAGGCGTTTCTCAAAACGTAATACATCGCAGGAAAATTGAGAATAAATAAGAAAGAATAAGTACCTGATATAAAAATTCGGGTCAACATCGCTACGAATCTCCGCGCTTGCCTGCACGATCTTCTTCAATTGAACCTCGACGAAGTAATTATAGGAATCGATATGCTGTTTGACTAAGCCCTTCACTTTGAGGAAAGCGGGCAGTAAATTCCATTTATCTTCGGCAGTGTTAATTGGGTCTGTGAGGGATTTGCTGTAGTAAAATGGTTTGAGGAGCGCGTCGAAATCCTACATTTCAGCGTTAGCCAATCTACATGCAATATACTAGCTTCCACCCACCAGGAAAACAAAAAGAACATGAAAATAAGATAACATACGTCACCTCCTCTCTTCCCCTTTTTATGATGTGAATGCCCATGCGTATGCAATTCCGCTTGGGCATGGGCGGCGGTGGTCGCGGGAGCGGGACCAAGGGCGGAAGGGGTCTTCATGGCCGGAGCTGTTTGCGCCGCACGCTTCCGTTTCATAGGACTTCCGGGCATAACTGGGAGGGGTAGAGAGTCCACTTCCTATATACATGAATTTGTCAGGCTTATATGGCTGTAGGGTTGAAGATGAGTTATAACAGAGCTGCGTGTGGACTGAAAACCAATAAATATGCCTTTTCACGTACCTTGGAGGGGTCGTCTGGCGGAGCTGCCTTTCTTCGGGGAGGCATTACCCTCTTTCAAGCAGCCTTTGGGAATTAGGCAAGCTCAGAAAGGAAGTGAGATATGTTCCTAGAAGAACTTAGACAAGGAAATTAGATCATAAATCGTGAGCGCTCATGTTTGGCAGAGCAATATGTCGTTCCGTCGGTCTCAATATCTCAAAAGTTATTTTTTCCCCCGATGACACTCTCCCGGAATAACTTGGCACCGAGATTGCGGCTGATTATATAACAAATTAAGCAGTGGTCCAAGCTTTTGAGGCTAATCCGTTTACAGAAAGTGGTCACGTGTACTATATTTCTTGATTACTAAGCAGCCGATTCAACGTTTTCACATCAAGATCTCAGTCGGTCGGTTCAACCTCCACGAAGTGCACAGAAAACAAAGACATGGAAAGGGAAACATACTTTGCCATTCCAAAACTGCCAACTCATGACCCCTCTTTTGCCCCTCCGTGCTCTTCTGCTTACACCCGAAAATAATAACCCTCCCCCCACATCTCACTGCCCTTCCCCGCTTCCATTAGCTATACCCTGCCCCTCTCAAAGAAACGAGCAATTTTGATGCCCGACAAGCCCTTCCTCTCACGATCTATGAGTTTCACATATCAATTGGCTTATAACAGTATTGGGTGCCGTTTTCCTTTACGAGGATGGATAGATATTGTTAAGATTCGGTCTGCTCTGGTGGAGCATTCTGCATGCATCCAGTCATGCCTAACATCCTCGAACTTTAATGATAGTACTCCTAAACCCAGCCCCGCGAAGAAGCCGAAAACGCTCTTTTTTTTTTTTTTTTTTTTTTTTTTAATCTCTCCTACTTAAGTTACACGTCATTTGTCCGAGCTAGCTAGGGGAGGGAAGGTGGGAGGAATGGAGGGGTAAAGTGGATTCTGAACAAGCAAGAAGAGAAGAAGACAAGAAGACGAAGAGAAGAAAACAACACCCCACCACTAACTGACCCCTCTTACATCATGATGTTTCCCTTCACACACCCCGCCCTCTAAACCAGCAAAAAAATATATATACATCATATCTATGCGCATGCCCCACTTATATCCCGATGCATCATCGCTCCAATACTAGTGTGGATATCTCATCTCATTTTCTAGCTACAGGTACGGACACATCATACATGCAGACTATACACGTTTAAGATCGTTTTTTCCATTCAATGCAATGCCTAGGGGTGGGATATTCTGGACTGATGGTTTACGTATTGGCAGCCCTCTTCTGGGCGGGCGGCGTACAGGGAGAGAGTAAATTGAATTCCGTCCGTTAAGGATTCCTTTCCTTCTCCCTACAATCGGCGCATTGCATAGTGTTCGAGATATTTTATCTCTTCTTATTCTTCATTATCTTTTTTTTCCACATTGCCAAAAGACCTACAGCTGCAGGGACCCGACGTGATGGATGGATGATGTCATGAAAAGACCCGGCCAGACTTCCTCCTCCCAACACGCATAGATGTAATGTAGATGAATGAACATGTACATTGTACATGAACTGTACACTAGATACATGAAGGACGTATCTGTTCGTCTAGTGCATGTAGGTTCCATTGAGAAGACGCTTAAGTCACACTTCTTTTGCTATGATCGTACAATTTTGTGGAACGGGTCAAACTAAGGGTATCCACCTAGCATGTACTCTTGATGACAGGAGCTGATACTTTGATTACAATGAAAGGTCAACGCAAAGAGGGGAAAAAAGAAAAAGGAGGCGAAAAGAAATCAAGGGAAAGAAAAAGTAAAAAAGGATTCCAAGCAAATCCAGCGCTCGAGCCAACGCAGCAGAGTCACATATAAAACTACAAAACCAGGCCCAATTGAAACATAAATCATAAAAGGCAAAAAACATCATGACCGTCACAATTTTCAAAAGGGAACCAACCACCCATGTGTTCATCTCTCCATCCATTCAATTTGTCTATCCTTGTCACCTTCATTGGCGTGGCGGGAATACCCGCAACCAGGCTGCTGAAACGAACCAACCCGTCATTCTCTCTCCAATAACACACCCATGGCACATCTAATCCGTCCCACTCATGGTCATATCGTGATATCAACCGCCCACCCAAAACACATTCAAACTAACGCGTATAGACCTAACTTCCTCGAATATCTGCGCCCCAAGTAGGTAAATACAAAATAAAAACAAAATGAATGCGGCGGCGTTGATGTCGATATTGTCGCCCAAACCTTGGACAGATTCACTCACTCCCTTCCCCGGACCATCGCCGTTAGCATCCACATCATTATCACTCACCATCATCGTCACGGAAAGACATCTGGTACCCCCCCTTCGCATGCCTCTTGCTGGTTCTGGCCTTGGTCAGGCTCCGGCTCCTACTCTTGCAACCGCTGTTGGTCGTCCCCTTCACTAGCATTCCTGTCAATAACGCTAGGATGACGAGAACCAACCTGGCCATCTCCGCCTAGTCCACGCCCTGTACTCATGCCCGTCTCTGTCTGATTCGACGATGCCACACTGCGTCTCTCGCATGGCAGGTGCTGACACAGATCAAGTAGCAGACGCACCTTGGGAAGAAGGATCTCCCTGCCATAGCGCAGGATATTGCACATCGCCCTCTGGAGGTCGCGTAGGGCATTCGTGTCGCTGAGGATGTAGACAGATAGCAACTCTGTGTTGAATAGGCGCGTGGGGCTTGTTGATGCAGCTGACCCGCGCTGCTGGCTCTGTTGTGGTTGCGATTGGGATTGGGATTGGGGCTGCTGTGTCTTCATCGCCCGCGACCTGGACCTGCTACTACTGATACTCATCCAATGCACATTCAGCCGCGCAATCTGCTGGTCCATAGTCAGTGAGAAGAACCAGGGCTGCGTGTGGTCGAACTGGTGGGTACCGACGGTACGGCGATGCAGCTCAAGGAGGCTGTTGAGGGATACGGCCGCGGTGCTGCTGGCTTCGTCTGTAGCTGCGTGGTGGGTACCGCCAGTGGCCATGGAAGTAACTTTGACAGCGAAGAAGGGGAAGAAGAGGTTGCCATCGGGACTCGCGTGACTCCTGGCGGAATTAGGACTGAGACTGGGATTGGGACCGGGATCGAGGCTGGGTGGGACGGCCGTTTCGGTGTCGCTGCCAGATGCGGATGCATATGTAGCTGGAGCTGCAGCTGCAGCTTCAGATTCGGTAAGTGTTGGGATTATAGTATGTTGGGCTTGCGTGAATGCATTATGCGAGAAACCATAGGCTTTATCTGGCGCTGGGTCCGGGAGGAAAGGTGCCGTGAGGAAATCAGGAAGAAGGGGAACGGGTACGGACTCGGTCCATGGCTGTTTGATTGAGCAGGCTAATGTGGAGTGGAGAATGTCATCATTGCTGTCATCATCATGATAATGCCCATGGTGGTGATCATGTTCGCGGCCGGGGGTAAGACGATTTCCTAGCTCTTCGAACACGTCCTCTTCTGTAGCATTCCAGAGGTAGCGGGGGAGTTTGGTAAGTTCCTGCAGAGCGGCCTCATCATGCAGCTGGGCATAAGCAGCGGAGGGATCGTTTTCCTCTGTAATAATATGCCTAGCCTTCTGCATCAGGGGTTCCGACGGTTCATTGCGGTATATGCAAATTCCGCGATAGTCCAAGGGAGTCTGGTAGCACAGGCTCTCCGATGACGCAACTGAGATGCCAGAAAGGCTCTGGATGGATGAAAAGCAGTGGGGGACGATACTGGCGGACTCGTTGGGGAAGGGTGGGATTAGGATGCCGGTGTCGAGAGAAGGAGTGAAAGGCCAGGATGAGGTGTCTACCCAATGCTCAATTGGGCTGCCTTTCCTATGTACATGGTATTTATTATTGTAGTGATGTTGAAGAGTATCATCGCCATTGTGGTTGCCCGTCAGCTCTATGGTGTCTTCTTCCCCCGGGGAGCCTAGTATTTGATCTGTATCATGGATGGGATGTTAGCGTACAAGCAGTTAGTTACATGGCTTGGATTTAATAAATAGCATGGGGCGATAACAAAAACATGTAACCAACCCATATATTTTGCGGAGGATTTTCAGGTTCTTAGCACCAAAAAGGACTGTACCGTACGTTTTTTTTAAAATAAAAAAATAATCAGTTCCCCAAAGAAAGAAAAGTTCAAGATGATTTATTTTATATAACAGAAAAGCCAGAAATGGTAGACTCCCCGCTACGTATGAGTTCATATCACCCAGCTTTATTTGAATATAGCCACCAGCACACCTATATCGGAGAATCCTCTTGTAGATAGATGGTATGGTGCATCCATCTGGTATGTCGTCACATTTCTGTGTGTTGTTCTCTGTGCATCTATAGGGGGTTTTTAGCTCCGTTGGCTATGTATGAAATGCCCGGGCGAACTGTAGGTAGTTGACCTTGACCAACACATGGCACTAGATTTTGTGGGTAGGGATGACCATAGGAGCAGCAACAACTGATATTAATAGGAAGATTGGGCGCAATGCCCTGCTATTGAATAGACTGGCTCCTACGATGAGAAATGAAATGATGATGAAAGATGTGTTTGCGGATGATCGAATGGGTCGAAGAGGAACCTCAGCGTCATTCATGTGATGTCTGACCATCCACCAAGACAGCTCTCAATAGTATATAACTAGAGGTTAAGACACAAGCAGACTGGGCAATACAGTCCATATGTGCAGCGAAAGATAGTTGTGTCTTCAGAATAGGAATAATGAAACAGAATTTTTCAGATTCAATTCGCGCTTAAAACTCCCCTCTTTAACCATGTTTCTGATTGCGAGGAAGAAAAAGGAACATGATGAGCCATTAAAAAGTATCTGTCAACATCCCTTGATATTCAATCAAATCGTCTGTAACTAACCTTTTGTGTGTGTGTGTGTGTGCGCTGCGTAACTACAGCGTACTCTGTAGGCCGTAGCTCTTATAAAACCTCCCCGCTTTCTCCCCACACCATACGTGGATAAATGCAAGCTACTGCGGCTTACACCGCTGGTTTGAACGCCCTGCATAGGCGATTGGCGGCAGATAAAACCAACCCTCAACTGAACAGTTGAAACGTGCTAGACACGCAGAGAAACAGCGCAGAAGCAGGCGCCGGTCTGCGGTACCTTAAAAAAAAAAGCTTTCTATTCGTGGGGGAGACTCAGTCGGTTTGTCCCAAGGCTGCTTTGGACGTTGCCCTTAGCAACTCAGCAACTCAGTAGGAAATAAACGTGAAGTTGAGTCCTGCAGTGCCTTTCAACTTGAACCTGTCGCAGAAAACCCGTCGCAGGGATACCCGTCTCAGCTTCCGAGCCAATCATCGCACTTCAAAAGATTATTTCGCGGCTTCTTTTTCCACTCACAAGAACTGTGATAACTGCATATCAGACTGAGTAGATCGAGCTAGGCCCGTGTTTCGCGTTACACCGCGGGTTGTGCTGGTGGGTTTGCTCGATCGATTCGACTTTTTACTTGCAGGTTAGATTTTTCCCTCGATTAGATTGAACATGCGAAGGAAGTTCAAGAGCATTCGGGAAACCATCCCAGTGCCATTTTAAAATTAACATTCAACACCATCTCAAAGCCGCTATCAATTGAGCAAAAATGAGAAAACATCATCACCTTCTAGCAGCAGCCTCGACGAAAGCATACCACTCAAACGTCAGAAGATCCCGACTAACTCCTTCAAGCTAGCCAGGTGATGCAACTTGGGTGAAACTTCCCTCCTCCGTTCCGCCCGCTGCAGACTGTGAATCCAAGCCCGCAGGCTGGCTGCACGACGCAGAGGCCCTTTTCCCCGAAGAGCCCCAGAGGCCAAGCGATGAGAGCGCCCGCTTTCCGGGCGGCCTGCAAGGTTCGGAAGTTACGACCGCACAAAATGAATAACCTGGAACCATAGCTTTCGTGGCAAGCTCATGTTTGAGGACGTGTTCTTGTGAAAAAAAGCTGGGTCCATGGGTTTTGAGTTTGTTGGCAAGTTCCTGTGCCTATCTTTATTTTAATTTGCTACCAGCCGATTTAAAATCAGTTGGAAGCAGCGAATTCGATGAAAACTGCTCCCTTTCGCTAGTTTAGTTTGCTAGGTCATTCAATCGTAATGTGACTATCATGGTAAACGCCAAGTCCTAAAATCTTCCTGAGATTTTCAGTATCTGCGGGGAAATAATTGGGAGAGGCTGGTTCGTGTGGGGGATAGATTTAACCCAAATAACTAAGAGTTAAGTGATGGCTCTGTCCTCCGTAAGCGCGGGAGGAAAGACAAGAAAAGAAAAGAAAAGAAAAAAAGCAGTAACAAGACCAGTCAATCTCGACTGGCCTAGGAACCTGTTAACATCTCTTCTCGTGGTCGCAGTTATTGTGTGTCTCTGGACGGACTCTGCCCCATGGAATAATATGCAGCTGCAGGCGTTACACATCGCAGAAGGTCGTGGCGATTGGTGCGGCGGATAGGCGTACAATGCCATTGGAGATCCATCTGTTGGGACATCACGGGGCGAGAGCCAATCAAGCCGAGGGAAATGTACTGTACTATACTCCGTACTATGTAATGTACATGTACATGTAGATGTCATTCCTGTTCCTTTTGGAGTCACGGCGTGCTTTAAGGTAACTGGAGTGTAATGTATGTGCTCAGTGTAGTTGCTGGAAAATAGGTGGTGTCCTGGCATTTTGGAAGGTCAGTTGGCAAACATTGATTGAGAATAAGCTACATAATAATGATCATATTAGTTACCTGGGGAGTTAGATAAATATGGGGAATGGAACCTTGTTAACTATGCTAGCTGGAGGTTGAGTTGGCGGCGGAAGGCCGAAACAACCAGTTCAACTCGCTGACTAGTAACTTACCTAGTTAACTAGGGATGAGGGGTGAATCGATTGTCACAGTCAGCAAATCCATCATCAGTCCCTCCCAGATTGAAATAATAATCACAATATATGCAAATTCCTCAAAAAATAAAAGTGAAAATAATTATATAAAAACCACAATAACCATCTATCTTCATTTTCAAACAGCTCCCTTCCTTGCCTCCCTGATCGGAAGCCCAATCAATTGATACTCCTCCCCCCTGTAGTTACCCTCACTGATCTGAATTTGCGGGACTTTGCCCTTGCAGCCTCGCAGGCATCACATCACAGCAAAGGTCTCACTGAGGGCCATGAAGCCGAAGTCTAGCCTGGCCTAATGTCAAATGACGGTTTGTTTTCTTTTAGGCTATAATACCCCGAACCAGGGCGACCCCAAGGCGATAATATACTACTGGCCTGACTGACTGCAGGTCCGTCCGTCAGGCTCAAATCCCAATCCCAATTCCAATTCCAATTCAGTTCCACTAGGAGCAACAACAACGGCACCAGTCAGAATTCAAACAATAGAAAGGGTGGCCATGCACTTTTGATAGAATCATGCAAAAGTGTCAAAAGCTAGGAAGGAAAAAAAAATGTTGAATGAATTGAAACAAGGACAAAACCCGAAGATGGAGGACCGCTATGAGATGGGGCTCTGCCTCTACCCCCGCACTACTCTACTGCCGTTCAAGTGTTCAAAAATATAAATAAATCATCGGAAAAAGGAAAAGACAACCAAACCAACCAACCAACCAACCAATCATGGTCACCAAAACTCTTGCCCGGGGTAGCATGAGCTGATTGGCATATGCCAGATGCGCTGGGATCTGTGCCACTGTGCCACCACTGTACTGTGCCATTGAGCAATGAGCAATGAGCAATGGGCAATGGGCAATGAGAAAGGAGAAATGAGAAATGAGCATGGGGTATTTTTGGGCGGATGAGAGATGGGGAATAAGAATGGAGAAGAAATGGAACTACTCAGCAGCTTCCACGTCGGGCAGGGCTGTATCGTATCATATCTGTATGGGTGGATGGATGTTGGATGTGGGGTCGGTTCGATCCAGTGCTGCACGAACTGACCTGTCCCATAGATGCATATAACAAGGATATATATGGTAAATATAAGGTGGATAAAAGAAAATAATTGAATGAATTAGCAAGGGCAGCCAAAGACTTCGCTTTGTCCAGGGAATAGAACAAGAATTCCGAGAATGATCTTAAACAGAAAACACCAGCCTGGTACGCCTCACCGGGGAGCTGGCACCTCGACAAGTAGCATCAAAAGAGCTTCAATACGTAGTAGAGGTTCAAAGGAGGGGGAAACAAGCGGTGACCCCTTAGCGCCAGTAGGTAATAGGTGCATCCCATAACTACATCCCATACCATACGGAGTACACACATGTGTTTTTGCTGCCCAACAAAGACGCCAACAAGAACATCACTTTGGTCACTTTGGAAACCATCAACGCCCAATAGTTACCAAAAGCCCAAAACCCAAAACCCTCATCCAGGCAGTAGCAGCTATCCCTAGCCCAGGCCCAAACGCAGAACCAACATCCAGCACATTCTGTACTCCGTATGTACAGTACATGTATGTACATACCATCGATTCATAGCAGCTGGGGCTAGCTCCATCTCTCGACGGGTATTTCCCTGCAGCGGAACCACAAGGATTTCGAGAATTGACATTGTACCGTACCTCCACTGCTCACGGCCCTTTTCCAAGCTGACAATCCCATTAGTTACGCGCTGGCTACGGGCTTGCTCCCCGTTGTTCATCTGTTAGAGAGTAGAGTACATGCGAGGTACACGTACATACATACAACTCCCGTACACTTCATCCTGCATACATCCATACATATATCCATACATATTTAACTACAACTACTGGGTAGCTACATCCGCACCCCAGTCGCCGCCGCCGCCGCCGCCGCCTTCGTCTTATTCCCACCAGGCACGCCATCTGTGCGCTCGCTCCTCCTTGTCAAGTCGTCTCAGTTGAACATGGATATTTGACAAATTCGCGGCTTAATATTTTTTGTATGTATCACGGTGCTGTATACTCCGTATGTATTTTGGAATTGCGGTTTCAACCCGCCCGGCCAATCCCGTCCACGTCTTCTCTTACCCCGGAGGGTTGTAGTAGGGCGGGCCATATTTTGTTCGCGTTTCGTTGGTATGTCATAGGCGCATTCTCATGTTCTCCAACCATTTGGGGCTATTGTACTGTAGCTGGTAGCTTCGTTTCTTCTTCTTTTCTTCTTTTGTCTTTTTCTTTTCTTTTTTACCCTTTCTCATTTTATCCCGATCATTCCCTCTTCTTTCTTCAGTTTCTTACCTCTCTCTCCCTCTCGGTAAGTCGCTGATTGACTTCCCCCGGATGATGTTCTGATGGTCTTGTGGTGAAAGAACGCGGCGAATTGGGATCGAATATCAAATATCAAATACATCGTTTCTCCCATCTCCACTGTCTCCTCTCCCTCCTTTCGTTCTCTCTGTACAACAAAAAATTCTCTCATTTCCTGTGACCTTGTTTCTTCCTATCCACTTTCTTCTTCATCCTGTTCAACTAGTTACAAAAACATCTACCTACCTTTATTCCCCTTCGGTTTGGGATTATCTGGTCGGGAGGCTGCTGAAAAATTCGAGAAAAACTAAACAAACCTCTTTAATTTTTCTTTTTTTGCCCTGCCATTCTTCTTCCCAAAAGCTCTGTGAACGGACGGTCTTTCAGGAAAAAGCAGAAGGGGAGGAGAAACAGAAACGAGCCCCCCACCCACTTGTGACACCTCGATTGCAGTCGTCGATCGATCTTGAACCGATCTCACTCTATATCGATCTCGCTGTACCGTACCAACAAAGCAAACTATAATAATTCCCCTACTATAGGACATAGAACGGCGAAAGGAAAAAGAGAATAGAACAAGAAGGAAAGGGAAAGGAAATAGGAAATAGGAATTAAAGAAAGAAAGAAAGAAAGAATAAAAAAAAAAAAAAAAAAAAAAAACGCAAAAGGGAATGCAACGACGTGGGTACGAATATATTTGATATATTCCCACGAGACCACAAAAAACAAAGTGTGTATATGTTGTTCATGTATGTATATTGTTGAAGGTTGACCTGAAGACATGCAAATGCAGCAGCAGCAGCCGTGCATCTATCTAGCACTGTGGGCCATAGTTAACTCTGCTGAATTTTGCCTGACCAGACCCTAGTTCCGGAGAAATCTGACTCGAACTCGAACTCGATTTCCTTGACCGAGATAGAGATAGAGAGAGAGAGAGAGAGAGAGAGAGAGAGAGAGAGATAAGGTACTTGGCAATCCTGCGTGAGTAACATTCTTTCATTATTCAATAATAATAACATATCCGGTGTTTTTCTCTCTCCCTTGTCCTCCATTTCCTTCCTCCCGCCCTCTTTCCGCGGATAGCAAGCAAGCACGCAAGCAAGCAGCCAGTTAGCCCGGGAGATGGGGATGACATGTGTGGATGTGACTGGGGCGGGGGAATTATGATTAAGGAACAACCCCCTTGGTTCTGGTCTCGGTGATTTGACTGTGGGCTGGCTGGCTTAGTTGTAGCGGTGGCTAGTTAGCAATAGTCCCGCGTTCGAGGGGTTAGGCCCAAGAAAGAAAAGAAAGAACAGAAAGAACAGAAAAAAGAAAAAAAGACACACCGCCAACTGCGCCGACTGGACTTGGACTTGGGGACTGGGACTGGGACTGGGACTGGGGGGCGTTGTTGGTTGTTTAGTCATACTTCCACCTCGGCCTCTGCTCTCCTCTCATCTGCCACTTTCTGCCTCTGCCTTCCTCCCTCCTCCTATCCGCATCCTCTCTCCCTCCTCTCCCTCCTCTCCTCTCTCAACCTCCAACCTCATCTCATCAACTCCCCCCTCCCCTCTCTGTCGCTTCATTCTCCCTCCCCTCCTCTCTTTTCCCGCCCTCTGCGCTCGCTTTTTCTTTGCCAATTGCTGTTCTCCCTACCCTCCTGCCCTCCTGCAGACAGCTCGCGTTCCCCTCTCCAAATCTCCCCTCCCCCGCTGCCGGGGTTTTCTGCGCTCTTTCGCTTTGGGTTGCTCTCGTTTGTTCTCTCTGCTTTCCCCACTCACCCCCGCCTTCGTTCTCTGACATGTTCATTCTTCCTGCGTCCGTGTAGTCTGTGCCACCCTCCATACACACACGCACACACACATACACGCACACGCACACTTACACATAGCGCGAGAGAGAGAAAAAGAGTGAGTGAGAGATATAGACAAACGCACATAGACTCGCCCCATATTATACAATGGCTTTCAAGAACGGTCTGAGCGAGCGTCTTGAAGAGCTCCGGTTTTCCTCCCCTCGCTCTCCGCCCTCCGACTCGCCTTTCTCCAGCTACCCCTCGCCCACCAGGGGTCAGCCTGCCAGCTACATCTCCGCCTTCCACCCGCCCTCAGATGTGCGCGCAAACCTCCAACGTCGCTTCACCACCGACGCCAGCAAGCTTTCCTCATGGCCCGCCTTTAACAATACCCAGCCCCTGCCTTTCCCGGAGTCTTTGGACTTCCTCTCCTCGGTGAGTTGAGCTGCTGCTTGTGTTGTTGTGTCATTGTTGTCGTTGTTATATTTCACATCTGTTGTTTGGTTGGGGGGGAACTGGTGGGGGAGTGGTGTGGTGGGATTGGAGGGAATGAGGAACGGCTGGTAGTTTTGGGGGGGTTGGGCGTTGGGGGTTGAGCGTGGCACAGGACGTTGGGGCAGAGGGGAGGCTATAAAAAGTGAATGGAGCTTTGTATAGCAGCGATGCTAGATGTTACAGCGAGATTGGATGGTTTCTTTGCTCAGTTTCTAAATTCCTTTTTGGAGCATGGTATGAGCGATGACCGGCTGACTTATATCTGGATTTTCGCTTCGTCACAGGCCACGCAGATTCACAAGTCGCAGTTGGTGAGGGCCCCCCTTTCCCTCCTGCTTTTTATTTTCTCTTTCTCTACGTTTTACAACTCTTCAACTTTCACACTTCATGCAGCTCTTCTCATACCATAACACTTCAACTTCAACTTCTCCCTCCCCCATCTCCCTCACTTTGATTGCTTAACCATTTCGCCGATCTCGTTCATTGTTTTGGCTTGTCAATTCCCTCCATCAGCCTTTCGATTCTTTTGCGTATAGCACTCGTTTTCTGACGACCTTTTACAGTTCGAGAAGAAGAAAGCCCATATCGAATACATGAGAGAGCAAAGAAAACGCTTCGAGGCTGATATGAAGCTCTTGGATCTCCAACAGGAGAAAGAGCGCCAGGAATTAGACCAGATGGCTAGAGACCTTGCTAATGCTAACTCAAGCCTGGCTGGTGCCGTCAGTGAACCCACAACCCCGCCGGAATATAGAGACAACGGTTTCCCGACTGCCTTCTCTCGTCCAACTCGTTTTTCAACTTCCAGTGCAACGGCACCTGGAGTGTTTAACCTCTTTGGCCCTTCACAGGTTGTATCTCCAACTGGCCAGGCCAAATCAGTAATATCTACTGCTCCAAGCCAAGCATCTGCACCTCAGTCTCTGCTGGGTTCTCGCCGGAACTCTGAGGAGGAATATCCTCCGGAGCCTTTCCCCTCTTTTCGTCAGGGTGCCTCGTATGTATTTCTACATTTTTGCTTGTATATCAATTAGTTTCCTGCAGCCCTGGGGCTTCCAAAGACTCGAGCCAGCAGTATTCCAGTTCTTTGCTTGGCCTCTGGACCCGTTACCACTTCATTCTCACATTCATCCCTACAAAGCGTTGACCATTATTCACTTGATGCTGACTATCTTTATTTTTAGTAGTATCAACAGATACTCCCTACCCACGTCCAGTTTTGGTTCGCAGTCCAATTCCACCACAACTACAGCCACAGCCACAGTCAACGGCTTTAGCAGGTCCATTGGTCTGAATCCATTCCATCCAGCCAAGTTTGCGTTTGGGGATGACGACGACGAAGATAGGAGGGGCTTGAAGGACGACGATCGTATTCCAACCCCTGACGTAAAGAGCTATCTCAAGTTAACCGATCCTGACGACAAATTCCCTACCCTGATCCGTCGTGACGATAATTCTGGTTTGGTAAGCGAAGTGTTTAAACCATTATTCTAACTCTAAACTGATATCAGACATCAAACTAACGTTGTTTCCTTAATCTAGCTATCAGCCAATTCTGCTGCCTTGGATTTAGCCAACTCACGTACCCCAGGCCCAGAGAGTTATGGTCATCGTCATCACGCTTCACTGCCTCACAATTCATTGAACATGTCTCAGCACGTTGGGAACAACCGTTCACAAGGCGAGCAAATTTCAGCCCCATTTTCACCTACAAGTGACACCCGCCAATCTCACAGACATTCACTTGAGCCCGGGTTTTCAACGTATCACAACACCCAGAGCCTCTACTGTACCGCCAATGGATCCCAGTCTAGGCCTGCTTCTCTCCAGATGTCATATTCCACTAATGATATCCCCACTAAGAATAATGGCTATACTGCAGTAACTCCGCCAAAGTCCCACTCAGAGCATTTCCATTCGCATATTTCTAGTGTTGGTCGGGTTCCGGCTACTCCTCACTCCCATGCAAACGACACCACCCCAGCATCCCCAATGTCCCCTGAGCGAGAGGATCAGGCCTTTAATCTCCAACCACTGCAGTCAGTTTTGCAGGCAAGTGCCACCCCTTTTGGACCACAATTGACATCCCCAACCAATGGGATAAATGGGATAAATGGAATAAATGGGATGCCAAATGGTACTTCAGCTATGGCCTCTTTCCCAAATCCCGTTTATGGATACGCCATACAGCCATTCATTACCAGCCCCCTCCAAGCCAATGGCCAAACCCAAGCATTCCAGCCAAACCCACCATATGGTTCCTATATCAATACTGCTCCTTATTCGCCCTACGCTCGGTTCCCAGAAAGCCCTGCAAGAAACCCGGGCCAGGGTCGCCGTAGCGGAGATGGTGAATCTGTCCAATTTTCGCGGTTTGGAAACGCTCCATTGGAAACCTATCAAGGCGAGTTATATGGCATGTGTAAGGACCAGTATGGGTGTCGCTATCTGCAGAAGAAGCTGGAGGAGCAGAACCCAGCACATGTGCAGATGATATTCTTGGAGACCCATATTCATGTTGTGGAACTAATGACCGGTTAGTCCTTGGCCTTACAACATAAACACAGCGATCTCCTTTCTGACGTATCTGGTTTTGCTTTTCGTTCTTTTAGATCCGTTCGGGAACTACCTCTGCCAGAAGCTTCTCGAATACTCCAACGATGAACAGCGTACCGCCCTCATCAACAATGCTGCTCCTCAACTTGTCAAGATCGCACTGAACCAGCATGGGACTCGGGCTTTACAGAAGATGATCGAATTCATCTCCACACCGGAACAGGTACCATTGTGGCCGTTGAAATGAAGCCGGTATTATCGGTTTACTGACAACGCTATAGACTCAAACCGTGATCAACGCGTTACGTGATCGAGTGGTTGAACTCGTGCAAGATTTGAATGGAAACCATGTTATCCAGAAGTGCTTGAATCGCCTCTCTGCACCAGATGCTCAGGTACTCCATATCTCTTCAGGTTCAGATGTTTCTTTTAGGCTACTAACATTCGATTTTCTTTAGTTCATTTATGATGCCGTTGGGACAAGCTGCGTGGCAGTTGGAACGCATCGACACGGCTGTTGCGTGCTGCAACGTTGCATTGACCACGCTTCTGGCGAACAGCGTGCTCGACTGATCGAACAGATCACTAATAACGCATTCACGTTAGTTCAGGATCCGTTTGGGAATTACGTGGTTCAGTATATCTGTAAGGAATTTCCACTACCTCCCTGATACTCAGGGGATCGATTTTCTGACAAACTTAACCCACAGTGGATCTCAACGAGCCTCACTTTATCGAGCCTATTTGTCGCAGCTTCCGTGGGAACATCCCTGCCTTATCCAAGCAGAAATTCAGCTCGAACGTGATTGAGAAATGTATCCGGACAGCCGATCCTCAGTCTCGTTCCGCTTTGGTGGAGGAGATGCTGGTCCCCAGTGAACTCGAAAAAATGCTCCGTGACTCCTTTGCGAACTATGTCGTTCAAACAGCCATGGATTTTGCTGACCCTGAATATCGCACCAAACTGATCGAAGCTATCCGTCCGATCCTCCCAGCAATTCGCCAGACTCCTCACGGTCGCCGCATTGCCGGAAAGATCCTGAGTGTCGAGAACCAAGGTCGCGTGAGCGGGGGTTCCAGCGGCCAAATTACACCTAACGATATGACGAACGTGTACCACCAGATTCACCCCTTTCCAAACTCCATCATTACCCAATATCCACAACAGCAGTTTAACAACGTCGGCGATAATATGATTAACAAAGCGACGGCAACCAACAGTAGCTCATCTTCCGCCTCATCTGCAGCGAATGGCAGTAACAGTTCTGCCAATACCCCGCCCGCCACCGGTAACGTTAACGGCAATGAAGGCAACTCACCCACCATCTACAGCCCGATTCCTCAACAAGCTACGAACGGAATCAATGCTTTTCCAGTACAGGGATACCCATTTTTCTCTTGAACATTTACCATGCATCCCCGGGTCTACGTTGCCCCTGCAGGCCTGTTACTTAGTCTTCTTCAATTTTTGTCTTCTTTTTTACCCTGTTTTTGTTTTGTTCGTTCGCAAATGTACACCAGATTCACGACGACACGAGTCATGAGAAATTATTTTGTTTAACGGCCCAATAAGCATCTTCGGGGATGGGAGGGAAAGAAAATACCATGTCTTGATGATATTGTCTTGTCTCCCACGACTGACGCCATTTTTTTCAGACCTCTCTACATCAGATCTGTAAACGATTTCCCTTTTATTTTGGCATCTTCTCTTTTTTCTTCCTTTTTCTTGTTTATTACCGGGCACAGATAAACGTTACGCAAGGCACAAAATGCAGATACACCCAAAGGCACGAAGCAAAGAACGCAGACCATATACCGAACGATACATTTTAACGATTTAGGTGTCTTGGCAATAAACATTACGACGCATCCCTCCACGTCCCTCGCCAAAGAATTTTGTATTTTTTCTTATCTCATACGCGCCAATCGCATCCAGACGGGACATATTTTGGCATCCTTGGTGTCATTTTCTTTCCTGAATTCCCACCAGACGTCGTCCATTGAAACTTTTAGCAATTGTTTTTGCCGGCCCCCCTCCATACCGTCCATCCAGCAAAAACGAAAAAAAGGGAATGTATTGTATTTCCTAAGTTCATTATTTCCATCGTGAGACAAGCATCCCTACGCGATAGGACGGCTCAAGATCTCGCAAGCCGATGTGTTCTATGCACTTTTGCACACGTGATCTGTCTTTCTTCAATCAAACCCATTTTTCTACATTTACGTTGCTTGACATTCTTGCTGTCTTCTTTGCATTCAAGCATACGTTGTGGTTTGTGGTTTGGATAGGCGGTGGGTTATGATACTGGGTTCTGTCCCACGGTTGGCAGCCGCCTCACATCTATTTTCGTCCAATATATTTTTGACTAGTATCACATTTATTGCCTGTTTTTTCCCGCGGGCCGATTTGTATTTGCGCTGCGGCGCGCTCTTGCGGCTATGATGCACTGATCAACCCAGTTCGTCAATCGTCATGATATATACTCCTTGGACGATATGATTGGATTGGGAAAGAGGTGATTCGAAATTCACAGATGGTCGACGTTGTCAAGCTCTTTTTTCTTTCTTTCTTTCTTTCTTTCCATTTCCCCCCCCCCTTTTTTTTCCCTTCCTTTCTTCCCCTTCTCAAATCCAGGCTCAATTTCTCGTCAGTTTACCATGTCAGCTTGTTTTTTTACCTGTCTTTTGTTCACGGCTACATCTTGGATCGATACCAATCGAGACAAGAGTTGCAGACCGCCTCTGTCCTTTGGCGTAGCTCGCGCCCATCCTCCCCAAAGACAGACCTAATGCACTTTCCCATCTTTCTTCAACGAAAGAGCCGTTGTTTGTATTGATTCCTCTCCAAGTATGTTCCCGCAAACCCACTTCAGTTCATGTATTTGTTCTCACTAGCTCTGATTTATTATTTTCATTTTCATTTTTTCATTTTTTTTTCTGAACCCCCTGTCGACGATGAATAGCCAAACGGCCACTGCCAATTCGAAACGCCAAACCTAATGAAAGGCAGTGCGCGTCAACGTTTTCAATTCCGTCCCCTGAAATGTATGTACCATGAACTTTTCCCCTATCTTGTTTCTTCTTCCCTTACATCCCATCGCTTTTCCTTCCATGTTTCCATTCACGTTCCGACCTTAGTAAGCCTATGCTAGCGCTAGTTATTCGTCATGTGCTTCATAATGTTCCATTTTCTATCCAATCAATGCTTCCCTGTTTGCCCGTCATTATCATTTTTTCTTTCATTTGTTCTTTTTGTTTGTCTCTTTTTTTTTATTCCCCAACTTTATTTATCATCTGATCATCATCGTATCATTGTCCTCATAGCTCCATCTAGACTAGATGTACCCATAAACAAATTCAAATTCAAATTCAATCTTTTTGTTTATTTTTTTATTTTCTTCTCTTGTGGACAATTTAGAGAAGCGTAAAACCTTCACGTTCATCATTGCACCGTTCTTATACCCCGTCGTGCTCAGTCTGTTTGCTGAAATAAAAGACGCAGAACGAACTAAGGGCCTGTTCGGTGACCCCGTCCAGGGCCGTATAAGTCCGTATAGTGCCAGCTTGTACGGCCCTGGACGGCTCTGGCCGGGGTTATACGCGCTAACCTGGCCGGATAAGGCCTTCTGTTCGGTAGATTCTGCGTATAACTCCGTACAACTCTCCAAGCATGCCAAGCTGGCAGTCAGATTCATATTTATTAATAAATATGGAGTTCAACAGTGTATTGTATTTAGTTGAAAAAATGGTAGATTTAAACCTATTCAAGTTAAATTTGTCATGATATCTGCTGACACATTCCAGTGTGGCTGTACAGCATCCAGAGACCTACAAATATCATCAAAAATCACCAATCATGGTGAGCAACTGTGATAATGTAACTTGAGAGGCAATATGACAGTATCTATGTCAGAGACAGCAGTTAATAAGGCTTGCTGCTGCAGAAGTGATCAATTTGAGACTCATTAAGATCCATTTTTCACTGATATTTGGTGTGTAAAGGTAGTAATATAACAGGATTTTCAAACTGCTACATGTCTGCTGGAATGGCATGATAATCATCATCATAAAAAATCACTCGTAAGGAAAAACAATGAAGGTTTAGAAAATTCGTGCCTGACCCTTGGCGCGATACCCGCTGTTGCAGCCCCGCGTTAGTGCCATAGTTAGCCGCCCAATCATATCGCGTGAATTTCCTTGCAATACCCTAAGCTGCCGCTAAAACTCCGTCGCATGCACGATTCCGCACGAATCACAGTCAACAGATTAGAGATGACAGAACCTGCCTCAGAGCTAGGTAGGTATGACTCACCCTGGTTACCCGGGGATCTGGCCGTGGGCTGCCATGGATCCATCCCGGGTAGCTCATAGGGTAGCTACCGCCCCGGTCCTCCCCCCACAGGTAGGGTAGCCGGGTGGGTACCACCGTCACCCGCGCTTCGGTAACGAATGGGCGGCGGGGAGTTTATAAACGGGAAATACTTGGCGATGCGATCCAGGGGGATATTGCCGAGGCCTCTGAGCTTCTTTTCCAATTTCAAAAAATACCCCCGGGAATAGAGGACGGCGATGGCGATGACGATGAAAGGAGGGTCCCCCCCCCCGGTGGGGTATATATTGAGAGGAGGGGGGTGAGTGAGCGCGAGTGGTCTTAATTTGAGTACACTTTTTTTATATATACAGTCAGTTTTATACAATACAATGTAGTTACTGTACAATATATATATATATATATATACACACAACAAAGATCCAGAAAAATAGGATACACCATCCACCATGAAGCCTGCCATCGCAGTCCTGGCAGCCCTTCTCCTCGTTGTTCCCAAGACCACCATCATACACGCAAGAAAAGAACCATTCTGGCTCCCGTGCTCTCTGGAATTCCGCTGTCTGGCAGACTATATGTGCCAAGAGAGTCTTGACTGTTGGCAGATGGCACTTGTACGTCCCGTCCCATGACCTTTTTTTCTTTTTTTTCTGGTGTGTAAATGAAATGAAGTTGAACTAAGCATCGTCCTCCTTTTCTTTTTTGTATTGTAGTATCATGATGTATACAACAATGTCTACTGTGACCTATCAGATGGCACATGCATGGTTTACACGGTACGTTTCGTCGGTTCTTTACGTGCATGACTGAGTTGATACAAAGCTAATAGAAGGTGGTAGAACGATTATTAAATGAATTATTTGGAAAATAATAATAATAATAATAATAATAATAATAATAATAATTAATTAAAAAAAGAAGAGGAAAAAAAAAGAAATAGAAATTTGTTCCATTTGGTCCTGTTGGCAATCATCTTGGAATTGTAGATAACTAGGTAAAACCAAAACCAAAATAAAAAATAAAAATAGATAATAAATAGATGTTAATCAATCGAACATTCAACACGTTTAAATGCTTATGAAAACTAGACAGTATATACATATATAATATATTTAATAGAGGGATCCTGCAAGCACCTTTCGCAGTAATGGCCTTCCTTATATGGTTTAACGTCACATAAATTAGTGTTCAGTGATGTTTTTAATTAATGTCACTATCACACAGATGAATCCATACATGCAATGTTTCTGCACAAATTCATACATAGTATGCACATGTAATTAGTGCTGTACAGCCTTCCTTATTCAGTTAGTTATAATAATTAGTGCTTCATCATCAAGTTAGCCTCATATCTCATATTGTTGTAAGGCAGATTGATCATCAACTCCACCTATGCATAGGCCTTTCTCTATCCATGTTATCTATCCCCCCTGATAATTGCCATACCATACCATCATCATTATTGTCAACAAGCTCTTATATTCTCAAGATTGAAATCAAAATGGGTGTATGGAACAGGCGGCTGATATCAAAGACCTCACTTTTTATTATTATTATTGGAGTTCAAAATAACTGTACAAGCGGCGGCAGCGGCAGTGGCGGCAGCAGTGGCAGTGGCAGCTGCAGCTGCTTATTACAGTGACGGATTATTATTATATCCATTACCCGGCATACAAGAGGTTTTCAATTAGATGAATACAATATTTACAAGGCCTATGCCACAGCAGCGCCGAATCGTGGCATCTATGCCTATATAGGAAGGCCGTGCGTACTAAATATTTCATGCGACTTGGCGCTGTAGGATCCCTCATTACACCTGCTCCGTATACCTATTATGCTCAGAAATGTGTTGACTTGATTCCTCAGTCGTACCCCTCGACGTCGAAAACTCAACAACTTTATGTATCTTATGTATCTGCCCGCCCCTAGGAATGAGTTCCAAATCATCCTCCGGCCCATCTCTGCTCGGCATCGTATGCCCATCCCCCTTCGGCACCCATATATTCTCCTCGGATGATGACTGGCCCCTGGCAACCGCCTGATCAGGCCTCAACCGCGAGGCGCTAATGATACCGTGCGTCGAGGCCCGATTCCGCCGCGGCGGCCCTGAGCCAATGGTGTATGTGAAATCACTGTCGCGGCCGCCGTAGATGCGGCCGCGCTCATGCGCCGCGTTGTTGTTGTAGTTGTGGTTGTGGTTGCTGCCCTGAGGGGAGCTGAAGAACATTTTGTATTTCATCAGCAGCGGCTTCAGCGTCACGGCGGATATGGCGATGATGCTGACTCCGATCTCGACCATGGACCATATCATTATCTCGGTGTTCACGTAGAGGAAATCAACCTGGTTATATCCGTGGTGGACATATGTGAGCCGGGCTATCGTTGCGATGCTTGCTCTGATGGGGAAGAAGTTAGAGAGAAGGTATTGATTGATTTGCATGTGGAAACCTCACACTGATCCAAACCCAAGGAGAACGCAAGCGGATAACTTAGTACGGCGGTTTAGTTGCAATTTCCTTATCATCAAGGCAGGGACTGTTGCGAGTGTCAAGTCGCCCGCACAAATGATTGAGCTATGGGCATAGCTCCCAGCCACAACCTTGAAATATTGCCGACATGTCCCGGCCAGGTCCGGATTCCGTATCTGTTCCCAGGTATACTCCACTGGCGAGCAAGAGAAAAGGGCGAAAAAGAAGTAGAAAGTCGTGAAAATGAAGGTAATCACGCCAACTGTGTATATCGTAAAGATGTAAGCTCGTCCAACGATGATGATTCGTAAGAGGGATAAACAGAAGGAAACCTTGACTATCATCGACGATAAGATATATAACATATCGGCGGTAAAGAAAAACTGTGCTGGATGTTAAAAACGATGCGATGCGATGTGGAACTTCATACAATTCGAGATTTTTGTATCTAACCTTGAATGCATCGGCCCTTGCATCGATTGATTTTATATCTTTAGAATGTTTCCCAAGGCCTAGGGACGCAGATTGCATGAGGCAACCCGCGAGACCACTGAACATGAACTGTGAAAGAAATAGAAAAGAGATAATTAGCCACGCACGAGAGCAGGACAGGGTACTTACTGTACATGTACATGTACATGGGTAGCTATAGGCATGGTCAGACATACCACAACCACGACCACGAGGATGTCATCCATGCCCCATCGGGTCAGATTCAGGCGCACATAGCAGCGCAATGCAACAGTTACCCATGACACGACGAGAAAAGAGATCGCGACAGTGAAAATGCTGCAGCTCTTTTCCTCCATGTTCTGCTTTGACAGAGTCAAGGCTGTCGCTGCTGCCGCTGTCGCATCGATCGCGGTAAAAAAAAAAAGAGAGAGAGAGTGAGAGAAATACTCTTCCAGGGTTGGAGAAATGTTCCCTAGGTTGTGACTCGCGCTTAGGCCATCCTTACCCGCCTCGTGGAATTTTGCGGGGGGACACCTCCGCTAGGCACCCCTGAAATCACCCCGGTCCTCCTCGAAACCTGTCAGCGGAGAACAGTCCTAGTGTAGGCTAGAAGGAACTTTATTCAGAGAGCCGAAGCCAGCACTTAAAAAAGGATATTTTAAGGTGTATTTTTTCCTGGCTGTCCAAATCATGCTGCGGTACAGCTATCGAGCAGCCAAATACGAGCGGTGAGAATGAAGAATGCTACAAGCTGCTGGTCGTTTTGGCAGAGCTTGGTACTCCACAACTAGCCCATCCTGGGGATCGTTTGCCGGCGATCAGCCCATGAGCACCGCTTGGGATGAAGCCTGTAAGAACTAGGAGTGCCCCAGATCCCGATAGGGTGAGCTGTGTCTGAACCTCGAGTTTGCTGGGTCAGCAAGTTGATTGAAGAAGACCCACGGCAATAACTTTATTTCTGCCGTTGAGATCTTGAAGAAAGAGGTAACCAGCCAGATTGGTCAATCGAGATGATCCGTCCTCCATAGCATCTTCTTATTCGCTGGTCGTAATTCCAACAGTAGTTGGTGAGCGAAGGAAGTCACAGGAAGCCTAGTTCAAGCAAGCTTCGGCCTTGGGGTTTGACCGGCGAATATGGTGAAGATATGAAGATACGGATTTGATTCCCGCTTCGCACCGAGACTCCGGCTGGCTGTAAGGGCGAGATCCCTCGGTTCTCTACATGGTGGAAGGCCCTGCTTGGCGTCCAGTCTGTCAGCGAGCGAAGGTTCATGCCTGAAGGCACTTGTCTCTTGAGAGAAACCACCATTCCTAAAATAAAATAGCAAGACGGAGAGGAGGCCGGAAAGTTTCCTCTGGCTTTGAGGAGTGCGGGCACACGGGAGACCTACGTTCGAATCCGTTTTCCCTTCAACGGTGCGTTCAACGTAGTCGCACTCATTTTGAGTCTGCCAGATTCTCACAAGGTTCAACTAGTTTCACATACTTAGTGACATCTCCCCCTCAGGTTGAATAATTGAACGCTTTGACACCGGTCCAACGCAGCGCCACATTCCTGACCGGACGACTTCCTTGGGCTGGAAAGTTTCGCTTGATGGAAAATGCTGTGCACAGTAACTACGGACTAACTACTCCGTAGAGAGCTGGGAGAGCATTGCCCAAGTGGACAACGATTTCCGAGTCGGTTCCAGAGCGCGTCGGCAACCAAGATATTTAAAATTCAACGATGACATCAAGCCGGTCTCGAGTGGACTTGCTTACGCTCGCTTATTCAGCTTGAGAAACATGTCTTGGAGGATAACGTTGTTCTGTTGTGTTGTAATCTAACTACGCGAGTTACACTAAATGAATAGGTTGGGGTGGCACGTGACTAGGGTAGGTGTAGTAAATGCAATAATAATTAAATTACATGAATTGGACCCTGATTTTCTCATTAGAAAAGGCATTCATACAGTAATAACTGTAAAAATCAAGAAATACATGCAAAATTCATTGATTCACTGTATCATTATTATTATTCAATTATTTCTTCTTCTCAATTTTCTGAATGCTAACTCTCTTAATAAAATCTTCAAATACAGACTTTATCAGTGACTTGATAAGACTGTCAGTTATATTCACTGTAGAATCAATATATTTCATCATAATTTCTTCTTTTTTAATCAAATTACAGAGAATATAATATCTAATCTCAATATAATATAATCTTTATATTAAGAATTCTTTCTTTACTAGATTAATTACTCTCTTATTATTAACTTATAGATGTGAGTATATTTTTGCTTTTTCATTATTTATTAACTCAGTGTTATATAATAGATTGTATTATCTGTTATACTTAATTAATAACTTACACTCTCTTTAGTGAGAGTGTTATTCTGATTGAAAAGTGTTTTTTCACTCTCTATCAGATTAATGAAGAATCTCATTATCAGCTTAACAGCTCATGTTATAGATATGAAGATTGAATATATTATTTTTATCTGAACACAGACTTTGCAGAATAATAAAGCTTATTAATTAATAATTCTTATCTCTAGATATAAGTCTGCTATCATTTTTATAATATCTATAAGATTTAGATATTCTAGCTTTTAATATTATTGCATTATTATAAGTTCAGATCAAGTCTCTGTATATAACTAATTTTTTCATCTTATAGATATCATTCTTATTTAATCTTGCTATAAATAAGAATATACAGTTGAGAGATATAATTAATATAGTATAATTATTCTTATATATCAACTGCTTATAGATATAACTCTGATATACAAGCTTATTCATACTTATAAAATTCACTTCTAACTTCAGAATATAGCAGATATTATTTAACAGTATATTCATTTCTTCTGCTGAAATCTTCATATCTTCTATAGCTGTAGCAGAGATCACTGTTTTATCTGTTATTTTTAATATTACTTTTATCTTCTGAGATTTTATCATAATAAGATCTCTGTGAGATGTGATATAAGTGCTTAATTCAGAGTCTAGAATTCAGATATCTTTTTCTATCTAATCACTTACATAGATCTTTTTCTTAATATAAAATACTTACTTTATAATATTATAAATAGAAGCAGTATCTGTATTCTCTGCATTCTTATCTTTATTCTTATTTCTATTTATATTAGAGTTTAAAGAATGTTTTTTAGAATATTTCTTTTAACAGTCAGTCTGAATATGACTAACTTTTTAATAATGATAGTATATTCTTATATTATTATTTTTATATTCAGATTTGAATTCAGTGTTCTTATTCTTATTATTATCTTTATTCTTGTCTTTCTTATTCTTATCTTAAGTGTTATTTGCAGAGATCTTTTCATTGAAGATGAGAGATTCATCAGTAGCTGATAATTATAGAAGAATATTTTAACATAATTTTATAAAATTATCTTTAAGTATTCTAGTATTCTTATTCTTCTCTATTACATTCATTTAATGCTTTATAAAAGATAATCAATCTTTACTAATCTCTGTAAGAAGTCTATTAAAAAACATGAAATCTTTGATATTATATCTCAATCAGATATAATCAGTTCTGATTATAATTAAATATTTAATAAATGTGTAATCAGAATTCTTTGATTTTAATATTATCTTAATTAATTCTTGAAATAGATAAGTTTTATAAATAGCAGATCTCTCAGTGAAATTATTCTCTATAATAGATTATAGAGAATAAGTAGATAGTTAAAACTTCTTAAGTATAATAAAGTGAGATTTAATCTGCAGAGTGATCATAGACTATATATAGTTATATAATCAGATATTTCATTTTAATTAAAAATATTACATATTTATACTGATATTCTTATCAGAATTAATCTGCTTATTATTAAAAATATCATTTATTTTAGATTATCTTACTATGAGTAGAATCTCTTCTTTTTATATAAAATAATTTACAGAGTCAGTAAGTATAATAAACTTCTTTATAAATCTTATTTAATCTCTGAATTTATTAAGAATCTTTATTAATACAGATATTTTACTCTTCTATTAAAAATAGTTTATTAAATCTGTACTAAGCTCTTTATTTTCATCTCTATCTATCTTCATTTACTTAACTTCATACTGAAGTCTTGTAATTTCTAGTCTTATATAAGTCTTCTCACTTACAGAGTTATTATTATTTCAGTTACTTAAGTCTCTTATATTATCTGATATCTCACTGATATCTTTAATCAGATCTTTATATTTATTATTAAACTTATCAGACTGTTTCTCTATAATGATTTTATTCAGCTCAAATATCTTAGAAGCTGTCTTTTAATTTATTATTAGTATTAATAGTAATCTGTGATCTTGTATTTACTACTCTAATATTTTCTTATTTCTTCATCTTAAAAATATGTATTCTTTTATTAAGTCAGACATCTCTTCAGATCTTAGATTAATTATAAGTTCAATTATATAATAAATTATCTAGACATGCTTATAATGATGTATGAAGATATCAATTATATGTTATTTTACAGCTTTTCATTTTATAGAGAGCTTTGTAATCTCTTAAAAAATAATATTATTCTGTTGTGTTGTAATCTAACTACGCGAGTTACACTAAATAAATAGATTAAGATGACACGTGACGCCAGCGTGACTCAGTTAATAAGACTGGTAATCAAGATCACATATATTAAAAGTGTGTGAGTTCAAATCTCACTGCTGATATCTGTTACTTCTTACTTATAAAAGCTCTTATATAATAGAGACTGAGTCTAATTAGTAAGACTTAATACAGAGTAGAACTCTCTACTGTAAGTTAAGTTACTAGTTAAGTGAGATTCTATGAACACTTATCAGAGCTGATATAAGATGTTAATATCTTACTATTCTACTGTATATCTGTCAAGATTCTAATAATATAGAGCTAAGTCTAATGTAGTAATTATATACTACTTAAACAAGTCTCTAACTAGAGTCATCATCAGAGTCTAACTCTTTCTCAAATATAGAGAATAATTTTAAAAATTATTTAACTAGTAGATCTAGATATATATCTAGACTCTAGACAGAGTACTCTGATAAACTAGAGTCTATAAGCTCACTATTAAGCTCTAATACTGATAGAGAGAACTGTAGTTATTAAGTCTATAATTAGTTTCTAACACAGAATAAGGTTATAATAACTGATTAATAAGACTATAAGCATCTAATGAGACTGAGATCAGCAATTGAAAGCTTGATATGTACATTATTAAGTGAGCAGTGACAGTCACTAACTAACATCTCTGAAAATTAGTGACTGATCTGAGAGAACAGACACAGTAGTCAGTTAATTATAGAGAGTTAAATATAATTAGCTTAAGATGCATTCTGCAGATGACTAGCGCCTGTAGTCACAACTACAAGCTTAAACAGAAGAAACTCTTAACTATCTAAATCTTCAAACTTTAATTCTTCAGCTAAATGTAAACAGAATTTGAATTCTTAAACTTCTGTTAAGATTAGAGAATTGAGAAATAACTCTGATAATAAACTAGATATAATATAAGCAGTTGAGATTTCTACTTTTCAGAATAGTTATAATCTACTATCTGATAATAGTGATTAGATTCTACTCTACTCTCTTTTAATATGAATATACAATAAAAATAACAAAAAAAGTTTAAAAACTCTTTAAAAATCACATTTATTCAAAATAATGTGAATAGAAACTCAAACTGCATTTATTCTTATCTTCAAATTGTATTTGAATAAAAAGTTGATTTTATACTGCTTCAGAAGCTGAATTTTGATACTGAGTAAAAATATGTTATTTCTCATTCATGCTACTACTGCTTTATACCTCAAAAGTCTGAGATAAAGTCAAGAGTAGTGATCTATGAAAGAAAGAGATTAAGATATTAATTTAATCTAAGATTTAATATTATGTCTGACTCTGATATTCTGATGAGTGATATTATAGATAAAGAGAATAAGTTTGATACTATACAGCTCATAAATATCTATAATAAAAAGTCATTGAAGATAAATAATAACATCTGAATAATTAATAGAGGATTTCTGAACATAAATTTATCAAGAAACTCTATAATTATAGAAGATTTCAATGCACATCATCTCTGATGAAATTCAGAATATAAAAGAGCAGTAAGAGTTGATAATCTGATTAAATGAATCTTTGAGTATTTAATAGATTTAGTTAACAAGTCTGATTAACAAACATTCTTTAGAAAAGATATGAAATAGAAATCTATTATAGATCTAATCTTCATGTCATAAAATCTAATGAAAAAAAGACTTGTAAACTGATTTATTAATTCAAATGAGACATCAGAATCTGATTATAAGATTATTCAATTTGATATTGAACTGAGTGAGAAATAAATAAGTGAAAACTCTCTTCTCTCTAATCAGTTTAACTTTGAAAAAGCTGACTGAAAGACAGTTGAAGAAAGTATAAAACTGTTAAAATCTGAAAGATAGAGTGAG